GTATTTTGCCTGAGTGTATGTGTGTGAACCACATGTATGCCTGGTGCTTGCGGAGGCCAGAAGAGGGCATTGGATCCCCAGGAACTGGAGTTACAGATGATTTGTGAGCCACCATGTGGGTGCTGGAAACTAAACCTAGGTCCTCTACAATAGCACCCAATGCCCTTTACTACTGAGCCATCTCTCCAACTCCGAAATTTAATCTTTAAATGAAATGTTTTAGTAAATGTGTCTGCTTAATTGCTTGGAATACTTGTTAATAGAGGATAGAAAATCAGGGTTCGTAAAGGTAAATATCCCCAATCTAATATGCTTCAGTCTTGCCCATACACGTACCTTCCATCTATAAGAAAAGTAGACCAGGGCGCCCAGAGAGATGGCTCAGCAATTAAGAACACTGGCTGTTCTTGCAGAAGACCCAGGTTCAAATCCCAGCACCCACATGGCAGCTAACAACTGTCTGTAACTCCGGTTCTAGAAGATTCGACAGCCTCTTCTGTCCTCTGAGGGCATTGCACATGGGTGCACTTACCTACATGCAGGCAATACATGTATACACATAAAATAAAAATAATAAAAAAATTTTTTAAAAAAAGAAAGAAAAGTAGACCAGCTAGCTGTTCCTTTCCCCAACTCCAAAAATTTTTGGTTCTCTTTATCTTGCTGGTTTAAAATTGTGCCCACCAACGTCTTGTCTGAACTTCCATTAACACCTGTCACGATCCTGTGTAGGGTGTTATTCCTGTGATCCAGCATATTTCACAAATGACACCCTACAAAATGAAAGTGTGATGCTCCTTTAGAGCTTTAGAAGGTAATGAGTTGGTTTTGGACCTTGGTTACCTAGCATGATGGATTTATAATGAAAAGTATTGAAAGATTTAAAAATAGGATACAGTTCCAACAAGCTAAGAGAGTTGGGAGTTGTCACTGGTTGAAGATGAGGCTGAGCTAAACTAGTTTCTCACTTTTCAGAAACTTGTCAGCTGAGGAAAGTGTTACTTTCTTATGGTTATTTATATAGAAATTCTTTGCCTACTCCCTGAGGTGAAAATAATACATTTATTTCTGATCTGATGATGGCTACTGAGGAAAGCTACATGGAATGCCCTCAAAACCATCTTACCAACCCATGCCCAGGAATTTTTTTTATTTTTTGTATTTCAAACTTTATTGAGAATTCTAGTTAGGTGTGCTGATTCACGTATTTAATCCCAGCACTCAGAAGGCAGAGGCAGGCAGATCTCTGTGAGACTGAGGCCAGCCTGGTCTACATAGTGAGTTCCAGACCAGCTGGGACTACAGGAAAAGCCTGTCTCAAAACAAACAAAAAAGTAAAAAGACCTCTAATGAGCACTGTGTATTTTACTCATAATATTTCAGTGATTAAAGTATACATAGCTAACTCAAATAAATTTAGTCAGTTTATGTTATATAAAGGGGTTGTGCGTTAAAGTTACTTTACTAGTTGTATTATTAAGTAGTGAAAAATCACAGTGGAGGCCACTCACGAATCAGCCATACAGCAGCACTGGCTAGCTCTGAATTTTGTGCGGCCAGTGTGACCAGAAAAATATTTGTGTAGACATGGTCCTGTAGTACTTTGGAGTGGTGATTTGCTTCACTGGTGAATGTTATAATTTAATCAGATGGAAACTATTTTTAGCCTTGACAAATATTCACAGTAAAATATTGGGATGGTGTGTTTGAAATCCCAGAAACTGAGCGGCTTATAGGCACAAAACAGTAACACTTCACATAATAATTACATTTTATTAATGATCTAGCACAGTTCCTTTTACCTCTGTTTCATTCTCTTAAGTCTTTTGCTATTCTACATAAATGACTCATTGTAAACTCTGTGTGTGTGGAGAGGGGGAAATGTATATGTGCCTGGGTGAAATTCTTCAACTCAAGGGAGTTGTTGGATACTTTTTAATCACAACTATCATACTACTGTTTTATCTGCATAATAAAAAGGGCATTTGCAAATAATAAGATACCTAATGCTAAAATTGTCAGCATTTTCAATTTAGATCTAAGGACTAAATCAGCATGAAAAAAAAATCACAGTATGTAGAGATAAAAAGATACGGTTACAGGCTTCTCTGTGGTGGGTGCAACAATGAACCTACTTTGAAATTTTACTTTCACTTTGTTTTTAGAAATTCATTTATTTTTTCACCTTTTTTTATTGAGCTTTTAAAACTTCATACAATATTTCCCACTCAAATCCAGACCCTCTCTCCTATCCATGCCTCCCCCTGTACCTCCCACCAAACCCTATGCACTCTGCCATACATGCTGAGTCCTATTCATTCAGACGTTTGTACCCAAATGTCCTTCGGTGTAAATGTGCCCACTGGAGTCTAGTCAGCCCATCCAGTGGTCATATATAAGTCATATTCTCCCTCACCCATCAATAATCAGTTTCAAATAGTTCTCAATCTAGTGCTAGCCCAAAATCTATTTCTCACCTCCCCTCTGTGCCCTTGTTTAATTGAGCTGACATGGGTCCTGCATTCAATGCCACTGCTGCCGCAGGGACACATGAGCAAGCCTCCACTGGCCTGGAAGCCTCCACCTCCCTGTATTTATGAACCAGCCCTGGGTCTTACAATCTTTCCACCTCCTCTTCTGCAATGGTCTCTGAGCTGTGGGTGGGTGAGGTTCCATATAGGAGTCCCATCCTATACACTCTTCAGTTTCTTATTCTCCAAAACTTGGCCAGTTGTGGCCTTCTGTGTACATTGTACTCTCGTGTACAAGGAAGCCTCACTGGTGAGAGGTGAGGAGTGCATTAGCCCTCTCTGTATCCCTTATTCTGCTGTATTCCATGGGCCTTAGTTGTAGAGATTTGACTGCAGATGTGTCACCCAGTACTGGGCATCTCCCAGGCATATTTCTCTGCCTAACCAGTTGTGCAACTCTGCAGTAGCCTCCATCTGTTGCATAAAGAAGTTGCTGTACGGCATGCTGTATGGCATGCTTGTCACTCTAAGGGAGGTCTCTTCTATCTGGCACTGTGTTCCCTACCAAGAAGCTCCCTGGTATGCATATGCATTAATGTTCAGACACTCTATGTCCATTTCTCATAGAGTTTCTAGGGCATCACTTTTCCCTCTAGGTTTCCAAGCCCCCCGAGATTCACCCTTTTTTCCTCCCACCAGGCTTCCCTCCTTCCTCCCTCCCTAGTCACAGTGCCCCCATTATCCCCACTCTCCCCCTAATACCTCCTGACCCCTGCCATCTTTCCTCTTCTGACTTCCCTCCCTCCCCACACCATGGTCCCTTGCATGGCCCTCCCTCCTCTCCTCCCTGCTGATTACTCCCACTTTTCCACTTCCCTCAGGTAACATTTATTCCCTACTGCTATCCCCCTTTCAGGTTGTTCTTTGTCCTTTACCTCCATGTATCCTTTCCCTTTCCCTGGCTCTGGGTGTTACATCAGAATTTATATATTCACATATAAGGGATCGGTGCTATAATCCATAAATGAGGAAGACCACTTGGTTTTCTTTTGTTTGTGTTACTTAGTGTAACACTCTCTAGCTCCATCCATTTACCTGCAAATTTCATAATTTCATCTTTTCTTACTGCTGAGTAGAACTCCATTGAGTAAATGTACCACATTTTCATTAACCATTCGCCGGTTTAGAGACATTTAGGTTGTTTCTGTCTCTTAGCTATTGTGAAGAGAGCAGCAACACACATGGATGTATAGGTATCTCTACAGTACGATGAGTCCTTTGGGTATATGCCAAGGAGTGGTATGACTGGATCCTATGGTAGGTTCATTTTTAGTTTTTTGAGGGTTCTCCACACTGCTTTCCATAGTGGTTGCACGAGTTTGCATTCCCACCAGCAGTGAGTGAGTGTTCTTCTCTCTCCACATCCTCTCCAGCATTTGCAGTCTTCGGTTCTCTTGATCTTTGCCAATCTGACTGGGGAAGATGAACTCTTAAGGGGGGTTTTATCTGCATTTTACTAATTACTAAGGATGTTGAGTGCTTTTTAAGGTGCTTCTTAGCCATTTTTATTTCTTCGTTTGAGAACTCTCTGTTTAGGTATATCACCTATCTTTTTATTGGGTCATTTGTTTTCTTATTTCTTTTTTTAGTTCTTTGTATGTTCTGGATATTAATCTTCTGTCGGATGTGTAGCTAGTGAAGATTTTCTCCCACTGAGTGGGTTTTCTCTTTCCTTCCTTAGTTGTTTCTTTGGTGTTTTAATGAGGTCCCACATACTGATCACTGACCTTAGTGCCTGAGCAGCTGGTGTCTGATTTAGAAAATTCTTTCTTACACTTATATCTTGGAGGATGCTACCTATGTTTTCTTCTAGCAGTTTCTGAGTTTCCTGTTTTATATTGAGATCTTTGATACATTTGGAGTTGACTTCTGTGCAGGGTGAAAGATTTTTAAACCAAAAAAGCATTTGAATTTAGATGTTTGGTTGACTTTAATGTTGCACCTAGGGGGCCTTAGCAATGATGAGAGAATAGGAGTTGAAATTGTAAAGAAAAAACTGAAGTTTAGCACAGCTGTGCAAGTATGGTTCTCATATTTGTACTGATTAAATGGGGAGAGACAAGTCATAGGATAATAAATGCAGAATAATCCCTTGTGAGTACAGCCTAAGAACAACAAAGAGAAATACCAAAATAAAATTGATCTGAAATAATATAATTTTAATTGCATTTACTATGGAGAGAGGTGTTTAAAGAAAGGTAGGAAGGAGAGAAGGTTCCTTCACTTTAAATTCTGTATACATGTATTTGAATTTTAATAATCACATATCCCTACATTGTTTGGTTATTTAGGAAAATGAAGTCTCTAGAGCATAAGCACTCATTATCTCAGCCATCTAGATTTACTTTGAAAATCTTCATCATGAAGAAAAGTTGTTGAAAACAGTAAAGAAATCGCAGGGAATCATGTCTTAGAGTGTGTGCTGCCAGCACAGAAGTGGAGCTTTAATTGGCATGTTTTCTCCTTCAGACCTTCAAGATATTCCGTATTCTGATTGGTGTGAGCAGACGATCCACAATCCCTTGGAAGTTGTTCCCTCTAAGTTTTCAGGGATTTCTGGATGCAGTGACGGTGTATCTCAAGAAGGCTCAGCTAGCAGCACCAAAAGCACAGAACTGTTGCTAGGTGAGTCTTCAGATTCAGTTTCCACATTCATAATAAAACTATTTAGTTGGTTTTGTGTGTTTTCATATGTATGATAAATTAGCATAGTCTCAAAACTATGGCAAAGCGCTTTTAGTGAAATTTGGCACTCTTAAATATTGCACCTGTATCAGCCATCCACATCTAACCTCTCAATTGTCTGCTTTTGTTAAAACAGTTTCTCTCCTAAGTCATTGCCAGATCTTGTGCAGTTGATCCCATTTACTTGTTTAGGTAAAGCAAATTGGTGAATTATAGTCACTTTACGTTGTAAAAAAATATAGTAACTTTACGCTGAAATCTTCATTTCAGGGGTTAAAAGCATTCCAGATGATACTCCAATGTGCCGTATCCTCCTTCGCAAAGAAGTCCTAAGATTAGTAGTCAATTTGAGTAGTTCAGTTTCAACGAAATGCCATGAAACAGGGCTTTTAACGTAAGTAAATAGCACAATGGTTATTTGCCTGTTGTGCTTTTTAAGGTGCAGAAAGATACTTGAAATACCTTGACAGTAGTGGTGGTGTAGCACATGTAGTGTGTGTCTGTGCGAGGCTGTCTTCCCAGGCATGCTTCTGTGTGTGCTTCAGCGTGTGCAGCACATAGCAGCAGAATGAAGGCAAGAGTGAGTGTGAGACCCAGCTAGGCTGTCAAAGACATCTGCAGAATATATCTAAGCACAGGGCCTCTCGCCTCACTTCATTAAGTTTGGAAAAAATGTAGGAGATTTTATTAAATTACTTGTTATTTATATTGACATATAAAGGATTTATTTTTAAATGAATTAATATTTTAAAAATTACTAAATATCAGTTTCTGATGTAATAACTGGTGGCTATCACACACATAAAAAAAATAACCTTTTCAGGATTCTCACAAGCTTTTAAGAAAGTACAGAAGACCTAAGACCAAAAAGTTTGAGAAAACCAGATGAAAACTTGATTTAATCATTTTCCCCTTCTCCTTTATCTCTCTTAATAAAAATTATAGGATTCTCTTTGTTTTTCTAAGTCACAGCAACAAGATAAAAGAAAATTCTGATCAAATCAGCATCTTTATTTGCAAGATTTGATACAGCAGTTCTCAAAAGAAGTACAGCTCAGGGTCTCCTGTGGGGCTTTTTAAGAATAGTGCAGATGCCAGATGTCTGGGCCAGGAGCTGTAAGAATGGGGCCTCACCATCCCACCAGTGGCTAATTCTGAGGTGCTGTCCTAGCTAATAGCAATGTTTGAAATGTTGGAAGATACGGGCATGTGTCCCAAAGATACTAATAACTTAAAGGTGAACTTCTGTTTTAAAACTTGATTTAGTGTGATAAATAAAATTCTCAATTTCCCATGTTAGTGAAAAAGTAATTCTAACTTTACAAGAAACATTCAGATTTTACTAATTAATTTTTTTTAAAAAGCAGAAACTTAGAATATCTAAAATGTAAGATAGAAAGAGTTACTACCTAAGTAACTGGGCATATGCTTTTAGTCCCAGCACTCGGGAAGCAGAGTAGATATCTACCAAATATTCTACCAAAGCCCCAAAGAATATACTTTCTATTCAGTACCCCATGGAACCTTCTCCAGAATCGACCATATAATAGGGCACAAAATAAACCTCAAGAAATACAAAAAGATTGAAATAATTCCATGAATTCTACTAGATCACAATCCAATAAAGCTTAAAATCAACAAAAAAAGAAATAGTTAATAGTATGCTGGATGTGGTAGCACATGCCTGGAATTCTGGCACTGGGAGGTCATGTAGGAGGAGGGATCAGGAGCACTTGGGAGGCAGAGACAGGATCAGAAGTTCAAGAGCAGCCTGAGTACATGAAACCCTGTGGCAAAAAGCAGGTGGTGGGGTGTAGTAGGTGTAATATCTTATAATTATTAAGCCATTGCTCCTAATACTCCATCTAATCAATAGCCAAAGGAAAAAATATTCAACAATAAATGACATTTTGAAGGAAAAATGGTTGAACTGTGATTATAATTTTTATCACACCATAGTCGTTCCTTTCATTTCAGAATTAAAGAGAAGTATCCCCAAACATTTGATGACATATGCCTTTACTCGGAAGTTTCCCATTTGCTGTCACACTGCACATTCAGACTTCCATGTCGGCGGTTCATACAAGAATTATTTCAAGATGTACAGTTTCTACAGGTAAGTAGGACTATATTTCTGAAGTTTGCCTTCCCAGGATTATTCTGTATTTAAAGTTAAAGATTATATCTGCATTATAATCCCCTTTTTTTGTAAAAGCCATTAACAGTTTCCTGCATTTTCCTAGATGCACGAGGAAGCAGAGGCTGTGCTGGCAGTGCCAGCGAAACAACCTGTAGTTGATGCATCTGCTGAATCCTGACCTCATATTTATCATGTGTATAGATGGATACTATATATATTCATATCCATGGATTTCCTAAAAGCCTCACAAAATACTGACTGGCTGGACAGCAAAGACAGGACGTCTTCGGGGCACTGTTCCAGCAATTACTGGTACACAGACGGTTGGAACTGCTGACTTCCCTAACCACATTGACTTCCTTCTCTCCCCTGTTGGGCCCTTTGCTGGGTCCGTGATTCATCACCACCATTCTAAGAGTTTCACTTACCATCATCTGCAAGAGCCAAGCACTGAGTACTACGTAGGCTTTCTAGTTCATTCTTTTAAAAGCATAATGGCAGTGGAACAAAGCCAGGACGTGCAGAAGCACCCTTCACATGGTTCTTTCTAAATGCTCTTTTAAAATTAAGGGCAAATAAAAAGATGCTTTGTTTGTTAACTGATTTGTGGAAACCCAGAGTCAGTGTCTCTGAGGTTGTATCCTGTTAGACCTTAGGGTGTGCTATAACTGCTGGTATTAGAGGGGATCCTTGGCCCTTCCACATTTCCTTAATGTTTGTAACACTACTTCAGAGGTTACAACCTCAAAGCGAAAAAGAGCCTCAAAATCGGGACTTATAAGTTATTTCTATGTTACTAGACTACAGAAAGATTCTTGTTTTCCATCTCTTTTTTTGCAGTGTGTTAATAGGCTATTTGTACCAATTAAGGTTTTTCACTACAGTTCTTGATTAAAATAAAATAATTATTGAAGTATTTCCCCTTTACAGAATGTGTATATCCGGTGGACTTCCACTCTCAACTTCTCACATCACCATTTTAAACAGGGATTGAACAAGCATTATTTATTACTTGAGACCCAAAGCAAAGGAAAGCATTAAACAATACTTGAGATCTCCTGAGGAAAAGACAAGTTTGTCTGCAATTCACACATTCCATGGAAGAAAGAAGAGCCATGTTTCCTTTTAAAAATTATCAAGACTCATTTTAAGATTAAAAATTGTGGTGAAAAGCCTTAAGTAGTGAATTTTAAAGCAGCAGTAATTTAATTTTATCAGTGTTCTAGTTTTGCACAAACTAAATGCAGCAGTAGGTGAGTTCAAGAGTACAGTAATGCCTTTATCGTATTTGTGAAGTTAAGTTGATGAAGGCAAGGTTTTGTCTGTCTGATTTGTATGTATATAAAGATATTTGAAAATCTCTACAGGAATTAAACATATATGCAAATTTGTATATAAAAATAGCATGGCCATCATCATTAGATTGCTTGTAAGTGAAGGGTTATCCTTCTTGAAATCATATATGTAGAAAAAAATCCAGCACAACTGATGAGAACCCTTTTTAAATTATTTGTATAGACCATTTTTACATTCGCACATCAGCTTTGACACGGTCATCGAACATTGGTTCATATTTTCCTATGCTGCACATCCTCTTTGTCATAGGCTTGTTCAGGAGATCGCTGTGAAGAACCCTGTCAACTACATAGTTCACAGGAGAGTGCTGTTTTAACTTAGGCACTGAAAGTTCCCATTGGGATGAAGCATTTCATCTCTTCTAACACCTCTTTGACTGCACTTCGGTGAATTGTTCTTACGTGCACTGTGTAGCAACTTACATTATAACAAAGCAGATAAGGGCTCTAAGCTGCTGCTTGGGTTACAAAGTGGTTCTGTAGATTGTCTCTCCTAAGATTCAATGAAGGTAAAACTTTTTTTTTACACTTTATCACTGAACCCAAGTGTTTATTTAAATGTCAACAGTACTTCTAAGAACGTTGCCTGTCACCTTGGTTTTTGGTCTTGGATAATAAACTGCCTTTCCAGAGAACCAAATGTCAGAGATACTAGACCAAATAGTGGTTAAAATTCCAAAGGAAGTAATGTAGTCTTATTCATAATGGAATTAACATTTTAGACATTCATCTTAAACACTACCTCAGTTAACAGTATAAAATCTGTGGTTTCATCCCTCAAAAATTAACAGTAATTCTTTTTTGTTTGTTTTCCATTGCACAAAACTATCTCCATCTTTGTATCCCACCTAAGTCAGCCATCCTGAAATTAAGGCTGAGCCTATTGTCCTGAACAGGTGGGGGTTTTTTTGTTTTTGTTTTGTTTTGTTTTTTTGTTTGTTTGTTTTGTTTGTTTGTTTTGTGTGTGTGTTTTCTTTTGGTTTTATTGTGACATCTGACTGTTACTTTGAAAGACAAGTGGATCATCATATCTACCTATAGCACTTACTTTGGGAAGATGCTCAGAGCTTTGTGATTTTCAGTATACTGAGAAAAAAAAATGTCTATGCTTAAATTTGTAGTGGTTTGTCCATGGTTTCACTGACAGGTCTACTACGTTTCCTTTAAGTACTTATTTGTATAAAAGGAGTCTTTTATGATGAAAACTACATGCAGTGCCAAGTGATTAACTTAGGTGTTTAAAAATATTAAATTATAACAGAAAAGGTTAAATGTGGCATCAGTGGTAATAGAAATAATTGAGAAAATGATTATAAATAATAGATATTACCAAAATAATGTCAATACTGTAGTTTTTCAAGATTTTAGAATTAACCTTAGTCGTATAAATTTGTATTATTGGTAATTATTTAATAATTTGGAGGAATTTGAACAGTTAAGCTGGTTGTAAAACTGTGAATTTCTTAATTGTAAAGTAAACTATCATTTCTAATTGAATTTTTCAAGAACAGATTTCAACTTCACATACTAAGTAAATACTGACAAGAAAACTAAAAATATAGTATTTATAATTAAATATGCTCTAAAATTTCTTACACTTTTATTTTCTGTTTGTGCTTAGGTATATTTGAGGGGAGAAAATGTTCTCCCTAAGTTTTTCTAACAAAGTGTAGTCGCATAGGGACATCCTGTAAGACAGTGACATTAAAATAGGCTTTGTGGAAGAGCGTGTATCATTACCAGTATAATGGGCTCAGATGCCCTGGGAGTGGTGTCTGCGGTGGTGCTCAGCTCTTTGTCTGGAGCTGATGACTAAAGCTGAGTTCTTCAAGGTATGCTGCCATAGCCAAGTGTTTGGAAGTGATGTCAGTGTTCATTTAGATGTCTACTGCTATTGACATAGTTTTATTTCATTCCACTCAGAGGATGCCTTTTATCCCCGTGTTAAAGCACAGATCATTAAGCAATAAAATACAAAATTGTCTGTCATTCAAATTATAACTGCAATTATTTTTACGTGGTAAGAGTGAGGTGCTAATTGTGTGTGAGAGGAACTTGTAGCCACTTTAGAAATGTTCTTTGGAAGTAAGTTTTCCCCCTTTAGACGTAGGCTTCCATATTGTCTCAGATTCACAATCCATGAAAGCGTGGAAACATGGACAGATAGACTTGTTTGAGAAGAGCTGCTTGGAGCACATATCTCAGGCTTCCCTAAATGTAAGTTGGGAAGGTCTCCATTGGAATTGCAGAGGACGTTGTTCCCACTGGACTTTCCAGAGTGCCCCTGCACCAACAGTTTCCTTCAGAAGCAGTCCAGGGAGACTGATAACAGTGCTTATCAAGAACCTGTTCCAGGAATTTTTTACTTTTAGTTCCAGGACCCCAGGATAGTGTTCATTTAGAGTAGGTTTATATGACTTACAGAATGTGGAATTCTTCCCCCTTTGGAATATTTTTGTAATTAGGTGGATAACTGCCACAGCATGCGTAAATTGCACATTTTGACTCTTTATAAGATACTTAATATGAAAAATTAATTTATGCCAAAAAAAGAAGCATATCCTACAATTTTTCCACATAACCAGGTTATTCTAGCACAAAATGCAAAGTCTTGGGGCAGAGCAGGGTTAGTGAAAAATTTTTACAGATGATTGTTGAAAACTGTTCCAATACTGGCCTGTCAGAAACCCTAAAGATAACATTGTAAAAAATAAAAATTTAAAAAAAAGATGTAAATTAGCTTTGAAAAGTGGTAAGGGATGTGAAAAAAAATCTCAGACTTAATGCTCTCTAACCACGATTTTCTTATTTAGTAATACGCTGCTACATTTTTGGAGGTTCTGGTGTTTGTAGGTCACTGAATAGACATTGAAATCTGATTTATATTGTATAACTGTAACATAGAAAGAAAAAGTATTTATATATTTTCCTTAAGAATATTTCATTGAGTTGTGTCTAATTTAATAAGATTTGTCTCCAAATGGTTTTGCTTACCTTGATTTTTTTTTTTTCTGTTGTGGTTTCCTTGTTTTTGTATAATGTGTACAGTTTATGTCAAGGGCATTAAAAGCCTCCTGAAGCATAATCTTATCAAAGGGATACATTGTTAATAAAATGTACTGAAAATTCTTAAACTTGTGATAGTATTGCTTTATTTGAAAACTTAGCCCAGGGTCATTTGACCTTGATTTGAATCATGCTAACACTGATGCTGACAAATGTGATTTCCAATAGAAGTGACTTTTTGGTTTTTTTTGGTTTTGTCTTTTTGAGACAGGGTCTCCCTGTAGCCCCAGCTGGCCTGGAACTTACTATGTAGACCAGGCTGGCCTCAGTGTCAAAGATCTGCCTCCTGAGTGGTAGGATTAAAGGCACATACCACCATGCCTGACAAAAGTGACCTTTATGTACCATGCTGAATTGCTCTTCCAAATTTTTTAAATAGCTAGACTTAAACATGCTTCATGATTTAATCAGACATTTTTATTTTTTTAAAAAGCTGGTCATTGTGAAGGACTTGGAAAATGGAAATATCTTTAGATAGAACAGCTCTGAAATTTCTAAGGAAATTATACATACAATTGTGTAAGCAACAAGGACGTGAAGATGGTAACTTTCTGTGGAAGGTATAAGTTTCTTTTGTACAAACTGGCCTGGTCAGACAGGCCAACCTGTAGCCACTGAGTGGCAGAAGAACATACCACAGGAAAACAAATTATGGAGAATAAAATTCAGTGTGAAAGCTGGTTTCTGTTTAATTGCTAAAATATATTCCCCACCTTAAACTTGTTTCAGGTAGTTTGGCCTTTAAGAGGGCTTCTGTGTGTATTCTTATCACCTTACACTCTATGTCATCAGAAACATTGACAAAGATTACTTTGTTTTTAAAAACTTTAAAAGTACTTAAAGTAGGCCCTAGACAGATGGCTCAGCAGTTAAGAGCACTGACTGTTCTTACAGAGAACCTGGACTTAGTTCCCAGCACCCACATGGTAGCTAACATCTGTCCTTAACTCCTTTTCCAAGGAATCTGACACCTTCTGGCCTCTGTTGACATTGCACAACAGGTACACTGAGCAAAATACTCTTCACATAAAGTATAGTCAGGCGTTTTGGCACACATCTTTAATCCCAGCACTTGGGAGGCAGAGGCAGGTAGATCTCTGTGAGTTAAAGGCCAGCCTGGTCTACATAGAGTTTTCCAGGTCAGCTGGGGCTACAGGGAGACCCTGTCTCAAAAAGACCAAAAAATAAATAAAATTAAAAAGTCTCAGTATTGGCTTTTTTACAGAAGTTAAAAATATTTCAGTTTTTTTTTAATGCTTAGAGAACTAAGCCAACTGCCATGCTTAGTCCTTCTAATTGAAGATAGCTTGTGTTGTAGATAACCATTTTCACTAAGTCTGAAGACTTCCATCATATATTCGAGTATTTTAAAAATTTCTACTTCATGCAATGTTTAAACATGTCTTCTAGGTTCTTTGAGATTGAAGCCAGATTATCTTTCAACAGAGCTCACAGATGTGATGTTAAGTGTAATTCAACTTGACTTTTCTTATGTGGATAATGAGCTTGACCATAAGATTGACTGTAATTTGAGCATGTGAGTGTGTACATGGGCATCTTTGCACATGTTGAGGCCAAAATCGAGTGTCTATCTCAACCACTCCACCTTAATTTTTGAGGTAGCATTTCTCTGAACCTGTAGCTTAATGAGGCTAGACTAGACCAGCTGGCCAGTGAGCTCCAGTGATCCATCTGCCTCCCATTTTGTAGCCTTTCTGATTATTTAAATTCATGCAATCTGAGGCTGAGGCTTTTAAGTTCATGCATTTCCATTTATCAATTTTGGATTGCTTCTTTTGCTTTTGAAGCCCCATTCAGGAAGTCATTGCTGCTGCTTATACCTTGGAATGTTTTGCTTGTTTTCCTCTAGCAGTTTCAGAGTCAGAGATATTAAGTGCTTTGATCCTTTAGAATTGATTTTTGTACAAGGTAAAAGATACGGATCTAACTTCCATCTTGAGGATGGGGAACTCCCATTTTCCCTGCACTATTTATTGAAGTGCCTGTCTTTTTTATTTTTTTTTTTTTAATGTTTTTGATACCTCTGTCAAAGATTAGGTAACTATAGTTGTGTCCATTTATTTCTGGGTCCAGGATTCTATTGATCTGCCTGTCTCTTTTTGTGCCAGTATCATGATTTTTTTTAATCTAGGGCCCTGTAGTATACAATAGCTAACAATCAGGAATACCTCCAGAACTGCTCCTTCTGCTAAGGATTGCTTTGGCTATGATGGGTCTTTTTTGCTTCCATATGTTTTGGGGTTTGTTTTCTTTTTTTTTTTTTTTTTTTTAGGGTCTCCCTGTAGCCCCAGCCGGTCTGGAGTAGACCAGGCTGGCCTTGAACTCACAGAGATCTGACTGCCTCTGCCTCTGGAGCGCTGGGACTAAAGGCGTAGCGCCACCTTTTGCTTCCATATGAATTTCAGGATTGTTGACCCATGTCTGTGAAGAACACAATAGAATGGAACATGCATATGAAAATGCCATACTTTTGTTAACTAAAAAAAAAAAAAGTGATGTGTTAATTACTTCTTGTTTCTGTGATAAAATACCGTGACCAAGGCAGCTTATAGAAAAAAAAGTTTATTTGGATTTATGGTTCCAGAGGGGAGTCCATAATGACAAGAGCGGTATGGCAGCCGGCAGCCAGAGCAGGAAGCTGAGAGCCCCATCTTCAAGTGGAGAGGAGGGAGAACTGGACAGGAGATGGGGCTGAGAACTCCCAAAGCCTGCTCCCAGCACCTTCCTCTAGCAGAGCCACACTTTCTAAACCTCCCCAAATAGCTCAACCAACTGGGAAATATGGGGAACTTCCTTATTCAAACTGCCATGTGTTGTGAATATGAATGCCTGAAAACTATCAGAATACATGGATTCCAGGTCATGTGCTCCAAAGATCCTTATTAGGTTTGACAGGGTAAGAGCCAGGTGAGGGTCACATTTGGCCTCAGCTGAGGGGCTTTTAGCCAGGAGGTCCTTTTGACAATTGCTTGTCCTTGCGGGTTATAGGGAATACCAAAGGTATGTTTGAGTCCCCAGGAGGAAACAAATTTATTGAATTCTTGAGAGGAATAAGCAGGCCCATTATCAGTCTTAAGCATCCAGGGTACGCCCCTGATTAACATGGTTGACTTTATAGCTTTAATGGCATGTATAGCCTTTTCCCCTGAGAGAGCTAATGCATAAGTAACGGAGGAGCATGTATCAACTATAGCATGAACGAATCTCAATTTCCCAAAAGGGGGGTAGTGAGGCATGTCCATCTGCCAAATGGCATTGGATATCAAACCACGGGGGTTCACTCCTCCCCTGTTAAGGGGCCTGAGAGGCATGAGCGGGGCACAGGTAGCACATGAGTGGACAAGGTGCTTGCATTGGGACACAGGGATTTCTGGGAAGAGTTTATGAATACTCTGAGAGGACAGATGGAATTTTTGATGTAAAGCTCTTGCTTGTTCTAACAGGTTAGACTGGACTGTCATGATCATGGCATCTGTGGCAGCATTCCCCCAAGCTAGGATTCTGGGAAGGGCGGAATGTGAGCAGATATGTGAGATGTACCATGGGTGACTTCTATTTTCTAGGCATTCCTGTAGCTTGACCATAGTGAGGTGGAGTGGGGTGGAGGAGTTTTTAATGTGAGAAAAGGTGATGACCTTAGTGACCTGAACAACGTAGGTGCTATCAGAAAAGACATTTAGGGGTTCGTCCTGGCATTCTGCTAAAGCTTTAAGTATAGCAAGAAGTTCTCCCAACTGGACAGAGCCAGAATTAGGGATGATGTGGGTGATGTCCTTTTTTCCAGGACGATGTATCAGGACCCCAAAGTTGTTCTTATTAGTGTCCGAAAAGGCAATGGTCACTTGGGGAATTGGGGAAGAGGAAGGGGTGCTGTACAGCTTAACCTCAAACAGCAATGTGAGAAGGGCCTGAATTCTTTTGTCTTGGGGCAGGTGATTGTCAGTGGCACCAGGGAAGCCTGACATCATAGTCTGAAAACTTACGGAATCGGCCCAGAGGGCCTGTAGGTTATGAAGGGGAAAGGGGAGCACAATAGCGTTGGGTTCTCTATTGAAGGTTTTTTGAGCTTGAGTGTGCAGTTTGACTGCCAAATTAAAGGCCAGATCAAACTTGGAGGAAACCTTTTGGAGCTCTGAGTAGGAGAGATGGACCCAGATAAGTGGGCTAGTCTGCCAAAGGGCACCAAGGAAGCCAGAAGAAGTCAATAGCACTAAAGCCTGTAGGGATTGTAAGGGCTCATATCTGTCGAGGGTTGTTGACGAGAGTAACCCAATGATCTTTTGTAATAAGGCAATGGCTGGGGGAGTTAAGTAAATCTTTGCTGAAGGGCAGGTAGGGCCCTCCGAGAGAGAAAACAGCACCCTCAATTCCTCCAAGGGAACGGGCAAGAATGGTTTAAGCCAACTTATGGTGCTACAGGGTTGTTGAAAATTGGCTAGTGTATAGACCAGCTTTGAATTAAAGGCAGGGGCTATAGGGCGTACACCGCCGAAATGGTATGCCCTAAAAAGGCATAAGGAGGCACCTCCTGTAGCTTATCTAAGGCAATAGACAAGCCAAGGGATGACAGGTGGAAGAGTAAATCTCTGGTTACCTTGTGGAGAAATTGTGGGATAGGGTGGGACAAAAGAATGTCATCCATATAATGAATAAATTTTACAGTATGAGGGATGGTTGAAGTGGAGGATGGTTGAAGTGGCTTGTGAGACAAAAAGCTGACAAATAGGACTGTTCTTCATTCCATGGGAAAGGACTTTCCATTGATATCTGAGGGCCGGCTTGTGGAAGTTCGGTTCCCAAACCATAAAGCCAAAGTGATCACGATCTTGGGGGCCCAGGGGGATTGAAAAGAAGCAATCTTTAATATTAAGTGTTATGATATAATAAGAAGGAGGAATAGTGCCAGGGTGGGGCAAGCCAGCCTGTGTCGAGCCCATCTTTTCCATTTGGTCATTAATGGCACGTAAGTCCTGAAGCAATCTAAAACGGCCATTTTTCTTTTTAATAACGAATATTGGGGGTATTATATTTACTAGTGGATGGTTTCAAATGTCTGAGGTCCAGCTGTTCCTGGACCAAATTCTTGAGGATAGATAATTTAAGTTCTATAATAGGCCACTGCTCCACCCAGATTGCATCTGTCGAGAGTCAGGTAAGGGTGATTGGTGTGGGAGACTCCTTAGGGGATGTCCCAGGGAGGGCAGTAGCCCTTAGAATTGGGGGTGCTGGTCAGGGCTCTGATTTCTCCCAGAAAGGTCAAGGTTATCATGGGCTATGACATCGTCATAAAGGCCTGATCATCTGTGGTAAGGACCACACCCATGTCCTCCAGGACATCTCGACCCCACGAGTTGTGGGGGACGTCGGCCACTATGGGAGTAATTGTGCCCTTACTCCTGTTTGAGTCCTTCCAGTGTACTGGGCAGATGACCAGCTTTGTGTCCTGGCTGCCACTCACTCCCTTGATGGGTGGGCCAGGCCAGTATTTCCAATGGGGGACTCGTTCTCAGTGATGATGGTAACATCGGCTCCCATGTCTACTAGGCCCTTCACAGCAATCCCATCCAGGAATAAGGACATTAGGGGAGGAGTGATTAAGAATCGGAAGGGTCCATAAAACCTGTCTCGTTCCCCCTCTTACTTGCGGGGATGAGGGGTGCCCTGGGTGGAGTTTAAAGGAGCCAAGTCCGATTAGGGCCATGACCTACAATCTTTTGCCCAATGAAATCCCTTTTTGCATTTAGGTCAGTGGGTCTTGGGACGAGCTCCATTGTTCGGGCAGTCCCTGTGGAGGTGTCCTGTCCTCCCGCAGTTCCAGCAGCCATCTTTTGAATTGGAGGGGGTGGGACTTCCTTGTAATAAGAGCGCCTCTAAGGAGGCAGTCAGGGCCTTGATGGGCCCTGTCCTGGGGTCTAGGTCTCTAGTGGTGGGTACCCATTTATGAATATCCTCATTGTGGACGGGTGCAATAGCATTGCAGGTAGGAGTATTTAGGCCTTCCCATGCCAACTGTTTGATGAGCATATCTCAAGTGGGCCCAGACTCCACTCTCTGTTCCACCACTCCAGTAACTCGGGCAAGGAAGTCTGTAAAGGACTCCCCTGGCTGCTGAATCAAATTGCGAAAGAATGCCTGTGGATCACAGGGGGAGGAACATTTAAGGGCCTTGAATGCCAGGTCACTAACTTGTTGGTAGTAAGCATGAAGGCCAATAGTGGACTGGGAAATGGGGTCAATATATTGTCCACGTCCTGTGAGCATATCCAGAGTAATATTAAGGCCATATTGAAGGCTGAGATGTGCCTGATTGTCAGCCTGATCGTCGTAGGCCAAACGCCAGCTCAGGAAGACTGAGGGCTCCAATACCGCCTTCAATAAGTTATACCAATCGTAATGGGTCTGTAACTGCATGGCCCATTGGCGGAGAACTTGCTCAAAATATGGGGAATCAGGGCCTGATTTGTTGGCAGCTTTGCGGATGAGTGCAAGGTCTGTGAAGGGGTGGGCACCCATGGCTGTTGCGCAGCATTGGGGCCGACATTAACTGGAAAGGCAGACACAGGCCGGCAAGGGGCAGCAAGGGGTGGATGGGCCCGGGGGGGGGGGGGTAATAATGAGTGGGAGGTGTGTTGGAGTAGGCAGAACGTAGTTCCTTCCAGAGGTACTGGGGTGATGGCATCTCTGATTGCTGTGGCTTTGAAAGCGGGGTCTGAGGTAGGGGTGAGGGGTCCCCTTCCTCATTTGGATCGACCTCAAGGCTGGTTCCCATATCAAGGTCAGCGGGGGTTGAAGTAATGGCAGTCTACATTGGCCTGATCCTGACACTTTGTTGTGGGCTGAAATGACTTCTTCAAGGGAGGAAGATTTAAGGCTGGCAATGATGGCTAAAAGGATCAGGACAAACGAGGCAAAGGGAATGACTCCTGATCCTACTTCCCTTTTCCGGGCGGAGAAATGAATCCGCATCCAGAGGTCAGGATCCCACATATTCTTGGGAGAGACCCAAGGGGCCAAGTTAGTGGCCTCATAGCAGAAATTCTCAATATCTTTTGGTTTTACTTTCAGTCCCCAAGTTTTAAGGAGCGATTTGAGTGCTGCCATTTGTGGCTCCTTGCACTGTGGTGGCAGGTTGCCCATCGTGAGAAGGTCCCATAAAGGGAAACTCACCACAGAAAAGGCAAGGGTGACTACTAAGAGGGCACAAATGAAGCAAACAAGGGCCGTGAGCCACTTGGATGTAAACCACCCCGACATGAAAAGGTGTATCGGATCCAAATGTCTTATGCTTAGTAAGGGACTTCCGAGGGCTGTGACACCCTCAGCCATATGCTCACACGGTGTCTCCAGGGCAGGCAACAGGATGACCTGAAGCCTGGGCTCTGAGTTTGGGGTGGATCAGCCCTTATGTGAACTCACCAGGACGAGCCAAGTAATAAAAGGTGCCGACGTGGGCTTCAGGACCACACAGCGGAGTGTGCCTTCCTGATCTAACAACAAATATGACAAACAGGATAGATGGGACAGAGGAGAGGGCCACTCAGTCACCCTCAAGCAGCCGAAGGGACAGAAAAAACCCGGGGCCTACTCACCAAACGAACCGAAGTTGGGGGCATCACCAACGCCGGGGGGCCGGGAACCCTGTTTGGGCACCAGATGTTGCAGGTACCCTCGCGGGTCCAGCCCACAAGGGACTGCAGGGAACGAGGGTTCTGGCCAAGGTGGGGGTGAGTGGCATGGAATCAACACACAGACACTGGGAGTCAGGTGGAAGCAGGCACTATGCGAGGTGCTGCAGACCTCATTTATTGCTGGGGAGGGCAGGCCTTATATATTGCTCCCTCTGCCCCCAGTGTCCCAAAGCTGGTGTGTAGCTCCCTGATAGATCCTCTCATCCAGGCCGCTTGTGTCATCAGTCTCTAGGTCCGGGGGCAGATTATAGGTTGGCTCTTTTGCAGAAGCGCGGTCTGTGTTCTCAAGGCGGAAGCTGTGCTCTCTAGTGCGGCCTGTGCTTAGGCCTGGCACTTCACCTCCTACAGCCCAGATAAACCAATTTATTTTTACCCTTAAGGTCATTTGAGGATCTGTTCCTCAGGGGTCATGTGGGCTTGGGAGGAGCCCCTGGCTCCTTTCTTTTACCAGTTCCATCTGTGTGAAGATAAGTCAAAGGTCCTGCCCAACCGTGGCTAGCTTCACTTGGAAGCATGGAAGAAATGTTTCCTCTGTGTTGACCCTCCTCTTTGTAGACTGGACACTGGTTCAGCTCCATCTGGTGGGGTCTCCGTGGCCTCCTTGATCAAGAGGACAGGATTAAATGTGAAAAGAATCAATGACTGAACTTTTCTCTTTTCTATTCTGAGGTAGTCAAAAATTAAGAAGACTGGATCTATGGAGGGCGGCTACCGACTTGACACGAAGTCCAGAGTTCTTTGCCAGCCCTGTGATACTGCAGTAGGCCAACCAGCAGAATCCTTGTGAAGATCTTACTGTTTCATTCACACATCTGACCTGTTAGCTTCAGTCTAGGCTCCAAAAGAGCTTTTTACTGTCTCAATGGATACAAATTCTTATTTCAAGGTAAGTCTAAAATATGGAACTTTTCCATTAAATGCAATAAATTTTCAGAACAATTTGTGATCCAGTAATAAATCTCTGGTCTTAAAGCATTCACTCTAACAGCTTTACCCTTAAGATATTAAACATGAGGGTAGGTTTTAATGGAGATACTCTCTCACTAAAAACTGAAATCCTAGGATCACAGCCACTCTGTGCAGTCCTGAATGGGCAAGGTCTGTGGAGAGGCTGATGTCAAGGTCAGGTGTACTGTGATAAGGTGAGTTGGCATACTCTGGAATCCTGCCGTTTCTAGAGGAAGTTTGCAGGGCAAATGTCAAGTTGCATAGCTTTGCTCTATCAGTCTGTAGTGCTATTTTATAATTCAGTCCTGCAGACAGTGTCCGCTTCTGGAATTAAGGGCCAGGGCACTTTCCCCTGAATTCCTGTAGTGTATGAACTGGCTTCTTGCTGGTTAACCCTAGGGTTCACCTTTTCCTAAAAGGATCATTGAGGACAGGTCACTGTTCTTACTCAAGGCAGGTGAGGCAAGGCTTGGGGGAACTGCCATTTGCATCTTATATTCTGAACAGTGCACTGGCCTGGGTAGGTTTGTGGTGAGACTGTCCTTGTCACCACACGTGGGTGAAGCCAGCTGAGACACATAAATCAAGCTAGTTTCTTCAGTTGGACTGCCAGTCAGGGACTTCATGTTGCTATTTCCTAGTACATTTAGTAAATTTTTAGGTGGGGTCAGTGGTCCCAGCTGGCACAGTATGTCTTTTAGAGGTCCTGGAACATGGCCATGGGAATCAGAATCAAAAGCTAACTGATCATAAGTAAAGTTCTCAAAAAAGATGCAGGGCACAGGGCCGCAGGAATCCTTTTCTGTTGGCACAGGGGGAAGTTTAGTCACGTTTTCTGCATGTAGCTTCCCAGCACCTGTATACAGTGTCTTGGTGCCTTCTGCCTTGTTTATAACTTCAAGAACATCTGGAATGCAGTCTTTGACGTTCATAATTGTCAAATGAGGGTTCTGCTGCAAAGGAAGCAAATATATATGAATATAAAGTGTGTGCATCCCAGGTGTCAGAGTTCACTTAGAGTTTCATGGGCTTTCCTGGTCACAGGTTTACTTAGAGGTGATGATGAAAGCCAAATGATTCACCAAGACAGAAGAGATCAAATTTCCAATCACATTTTTGCTTGGTTGCTTAGTTGGTTTGTCTAGACTGGCATCATACACAGGGCCTCACTCATTCTAGGCATGCATTCTTCCACTAAGCTGCTCCCCAGTTTCATGGCTGGATTTTCAAGTGGCTCTAATTTGCCATATTTTCTGTAGAGATCTAGGAAAGTACTATCAATAAAGCCCCCAAACCTGGATTAGTCATCTCTTTTTTTCTTTCTGCCTTTGGTTTTTTGAGTCTCATGATGTAGCACTGGCTGGCCTAGAACTCACTGCATAGACCAAGCTGGCCTTGAACTCACAGCCACCTGCCTCTGCCTCCCAAATGATGGGACTGCAGGTGGGCGTCACGATGCTTGGCTGGATTAGTCCTTAACAGGTATGTGCCATGTGTACAATGTCCCCACATTTACCATGTATTTTATTGGTGACAGGATGCTGCTCTTGGATGGGTTTGGGATGTCAGGATAGCATGTCTCTTTCACCCTAGAAGAACAGTGAAAACGAGATAGAATTCATGATTTGGTGGAATGGTTAAGAGTGAGGACTCGAATCAGATTCCCCAGGTTCTAATCCTTGATTTATCCTCCACGAAATAAATTACTTAATCCTCCCCTTGTTTTAATTCCCTCATTAGTTAAAAGAGATAATTGCCATACTTAGAGTGTCATTACACGGATTACATGGCTATTTTATATAAAGCACTGAGAACACTCCAGGTACAAGGTAAGAAATAAATATTAGCTATGGCTGCTGAGCAGCTTCTGCACACTCCTGTTTGGAATGTATTGTTTTTCCATGTACTGACCTGGGTGGCAAAATTATCAAATGAATGGCATATTCTCACCTCTGCTTCCTTTTCTTTTTCAGCACGCTTTTTCTCATATTATTCTGAGTCTTTTCTATCTTAGGATTTTCTGTGACTCTTAGCTAGTCTTCCTCTGTCACTTACCACTGACTTTTCCAGTAGCACACAACCATGATGAGCAAGACACAGAGACTCATGGGCAACATTGTCTTCAGCAGCATGTGGGCTGAAGAAGGAAAAAGAAAGGACTCTTCATAAATACATCTACTTCCTCAAAGTAATAAAAGTTCATGAGCAAGAATTTCTCATGAGTGTTACTCCTCAAGTGTGTCAAGTGTGTGTGTGTGTGTGTGTGTGTGTGTGTGTCTATGTGTATGCAAGGTTCAATATGAGTTCTTTTTTATGAATTAACTCTGGAAAAACACTTCAGCTCACAAATGAATAGGTCTTATTTTTTATTGGGTTTATAGAAAACATTGATCTGTATAAAACTTATTGGGGAAACTTAATTGGACAAGGAAGAACAAAGGCCAACCAAGCTAGGCATGGTGGCTGGAGCATACCTGTAATCCCAGCACTCAGTAGGTGGAAGCAGGAGGATTAGGAGTTCAACGTTATGTTCAACTATATAGTTCAAGGCCATCCCCTGCCATATGAAACTCTGTCTCAAAAACAAATACCAGCCAACCAATGCAAGGTGCCCTTTGCCATGAGTCCACACTCTATGGTTCAAACTCATTATTTCTGATAGAATGAACTGTGACTTCCCATTCCTCACTCACTTGTAGAATTGGAATTATACTTCCAACCCAAGCTGTATGGCACATGGGAGTATTTTCTGCCCCTTGCCTGGGGGCTTGGCCACACGCCTTGGTTTGGCCGGTAGGAGAATTACAGCCATGGCCTGTGTAGGAACTTGCTTGCACAGTCTCCTCCTTGTGTTCCTGTCATCCGCTATGGGCAGAATATGCCTCAGGTACTTCTGCCTCTTCAACATGAGCCCTGGTGACTTTGTATGAAACACACCTAAGCCAGAACCAAGGCTGGAGGTCAGTATGGCCCAGACTAGGTCAGCCAAACCATGCTGACCTGGGGACCCCTGGCAGAAGACAAATGATTGTCAGCCACTGAGATTCTGAGGTTGCTTATTACACATTAAAAACTGGCTCTGTTCAGGCATGTCTAACCTTTTGACATTGTGACACAACACTGTCATCTACAAAGTTCATTCTCAGGAACTGTGCAGTGTAGTCACCCCCAACTCCAAATCATAAAAATCTCATAGTACTGTAAGTTGGGCTACATTCAAAACGGTCCTGGGGTACATGTGGCTGCAGGCTGCAGGTGAGAGAAGCCTGTGAGCCTTCTAGGTAGTCTCAGATTAATTTACCCGAGTATGTCTTACTCCATTAATAATTCCATTTTATTTCTCCTCAGATGTGTCAACCAGAACTGTATTGTTTTTATTCAATGTTCTTCCTGCTCTGGTTGCAAATAATTTGACTAATCAATCATTTACTTGTGTGGGTGAACAAATTCCTATGCAAATTGCTTGGGAGGCTTTGAGGGCTGTGTATATGGACATTCCATTCTATTCCATCTGTATACCTTTTGTCTTCTCCCCACTCTTCAGCCCAATTCATGCCTGGGCTAGAGCTTGGTTTGGGAACATGTGTGCTGGATAGTTCTGGAGTTTTGGAGAGGAGAGCTGCCCTCAGTAGAGGCCTAGATGGGAATGTAAGGCAACACAAGGCACTGGAGAGAAAGACCAGGCAAGTACCTCAACAAACAGCCCCAAGTAAACCAAGGTCCTAGACAAGGTAAGGATGAGCTCATCCTGACTCTCCCAGAAAATTTGCTCTGGAGACCAGCCCTGTGACTGCTACAGTCAATTAAAAAAATTGTTAAGATTTTGGATTTACAGGGCTGGAGAGATAGCTCAGCAATTGAGAGCACTGGCTGCTCTTACAGAGGTTCTCAGCACCCACATGGTGACTAACGATGGTCTGTAATTCTGGTTCCAGGGGATCTGATGCCTCTTCTGAACTTTAATTCCAGCTTTGGGGAGATGGAGGCAGGAAGACTTCAAGGTCTTCCCTAGCCACCTGGGATATATGAAACCCTGTCTAAAAAAGAAAATCACTGACCCCCACTCCCAATAATTACTTCAAAGTAGCAAGAATGCTCAAATAACAGAAACCATTGACTCAAATGTGACTCTAATGTGAATTCTGGACATGGGCTTGGAGACCTAAGGCCACACTTTAGCCTGGACCTGAATGAGGAGAGCCAGCCTGTTACTACCAACTACCACAGCTGTTGTGTATATCCATTCACCAGTTAGGGCACCCCAAGGCCTGCTGTCCTACCCAATGTGGCTGTCCTATCCATACAGCTCAGACTTCAGCTAAGGGCACTATAGAGAAGGCTGGAAACATCCAGCATGAGCCTATTTGTTTTTTCAAATTAGAGTGTCTTCAAGGCCTCCTCAGACTGGCCCCTTGCCAGTCTTTCATGGAAGATTCCCCCCGCCGACACACACACTTGTAAAATGCTCCTAATCCTAGCGTCTGTGGTACATCAGAGACACCACAAGTGCTACTAGCAACCTGAGATGCTCCCTTAATTTTTCAGAGACCTCTCAAAGCTGGATCTTGATTTCATCTCAGAACAAAGTTTCAGGACAAGCCAATCTAAGGCTGAGTTGGAGTTTACTACAAGATTTTAATACAGATTTTATGCATTAGGATTAAGAGAAAGAAAGGTATTCAGGAAGAAATTGAGAGGCAACTAAAAATATAGATGTGGGCTTCCTCCCTGTCCTCTATCAGAGCTGAATTCTCTCCCCCCCCACTTCCTGTCAGTGGCTGTTGGAGTTTGCCATGGAAACAGTTCCCCATCAACCAGCTCCTACTGTGCTCCTTTCTCTCCTTTATCCACCTTTCAAGTCAGTGCATTTTGGAAAGACTGTTCTCATCACCTGATGCTCTCCTCAGCAGAACCCATAAACATGGAGCTGGTAACACACCTGCCTTATTCCTGCCACACTTTGCCAGGCTCCAACTGTCCCTGTAGGCCTAGCAGAGCAGGAGGCCACTATGCTGCCTCAGAGAACCCAACCAGAAAGAAGACTGAGGCAGAAAGGAATTCTTCCACCATACTACCAGGGCCGTGCATTCCAGGCCAGAGAGACGCAGCTCTTCTGATGTCATTGCTAAAATATGCTGTGATTTTTTTCAGTGACTCTGAATGATTTCCAGGGAAAGGCATCAGCGGACAAGAGGAAGGTTGCAAACCATAACTGGTCACATTAGTGCCACTCTTACTTAGATTCTGAATAACATTTTGTGTGTGAAAGAGAAGGGGCTGGAAGGAAAAGAAACTTGAAAAATCCCCATCTAGATGAAGCCTAAGTCCACCGCTCTGTAAGCTCTGCATTTCCCAGGAATTCAGTTTTAAGGACAAAGTTGACTTGGAGAAACTCACAGTGCTCATCTGGAGTCGTGACCATCATGAAGGTAGCATTCTGGTTCTCACCAACACTGGTGTATGACCTCACGGAGAACTCATAGTCGGATTCTGGCCTCAGGTTTTCCACAGTGAATATCTTTTGCTTTGGGTCTTTGATGTCATAATTGCAGCACACTGAATTATCTGATTTTAAAAGCAAAGTTGTAAAGGAAAACATATTAAGAGTATGGTACAGGGGCTGAGTGTTGCTTGGTTAGTGCTAGCCTAGCATGCATGAAGTCCTGGGTTTGATTCCTAGCACTGAACAAATAGTATGTGAGGGCACATGCCTATAATCCCAGCATGGAGATCTTAAATTCAAGGTTATCTTCAGCTATACAGTGAGTTTAAGGGCCTCTTGGGATACATGAGACCCTGCCTATTTTAAAAGAAAAGACTATAGTGGAGACCTTGTAAGAGAGTAGGATGCTGTTACTTCAGCTGCATCAGTACCATCAGCATTTGAAAACCAACCCAAAACCAAATGACAATTTTACAACTCTGAGGACTCTGGGAAAAGTTTCAAGACATGACACAATAAACAAAACATCCACTAAATAAGAATGTTGTAATGCAAATAGAGCTCTGCCAAACAGTAAGAATCCAACAAGAGGATTAAAAATAGGGGATGGAGAGATGGCTCAGTGAGTAGGAGTACTAGCTGCTCTTGCAGAGAACCTGGAGTCTGTTCCCAGCACCCACATGGCAACTAACACCCATCTGTAACTCCAGTTCCAAGGGATCCAATGCTGTTTTCTGGTCTCCATGGGCATTTCACAACACGGATGCATTTATATGCAGGAAGAGCACTCATACACATAAAATTAAAATAATCAAAAAAATTAAAAAAAAAAAAAAGATAAATTGGCCAGGGGTGGTGGTGAGGCCTTTAATCCCAGCACTAGGGAGGCAGAGGCAGGTGGATCTTGGTGAGATCAAGGCCATCCTGGTCTACATAGTGCATTCCAGGCCACCTGGGGCTACAGTGAGACCCTGTCTCAAACAAACAAACAACAAAAAAAGATAAATTGTGGGGCTAAGGATGATAGACAACTTACTTACCTAATATGTGTAACTTCGGTCCTTACCACCACAGAAACATAAGCACATCAAAAGAAATAATAATAACATAGTTAAAACAAATTAAAAAAGAAAGAGGGAGACCAGCAAGTTTCCAGAGTGTCAATGTTTTTGAAGGGGCTGATGATGGTCAGAACTGCATTGATTTTAAAGTGAATTAAAATACTCCCCACCACACACACACCCTTCCTGGCTCTGCCTCCTCACTTGTTTTAAACACCTTTTGATCCTAAAATGACACCGGAGGAGCATCAGTCTGGCCCTGGTGTAGAGACAGCCTTTTAGGTACTTTTTTCTTAAGGCTGGGAAGACACCCAGGCCTCGCTTTTCAGTGCTTTTAATAGTGAGATTTTGAGAGTCCAAGTGAACAAAAGGGAAGAAGCGTCACCTGAAAGAAGCACCTTGTCCCATCCTGAGTGGCAATGCATCTCCTTGGACTTCAAATAGACACGGTACCCTTGTATAAAACCAGCCTGGAACTGGCTGGCATAACCCTGCCAGCTCAGAGTGAAGGAGTGTGAGGTCAAGTTACTCGTGAGCACTTCTGGGCTCTCCAAAGGAGCTAGGAAAAGAAGCTCAAATAAGAAAGCAGTCATGGTTTGGAAATGGTCTCAGAACATTTGTGTAAGCTAAACACAGACCACAGCCAGCTTTAGAGACTGTATACGAGCTTGTGCCAAGTTACGTTTCCCCTGAGAATGTATGCCAAGACAGTTTGTAAGAGGTGAGAAGGAGGTGAATAATTATGTTGTTCAAACCTTTCACAGATGAAGACATGAACGCCCAGAGAGATTGGGTAATTTGTACAAAAATCACAGAGGGAAAAAGGAAACGATGAAAGGTCCGTCTTAGGCTTGATTTTTGCTTTGGCTTGTGCCAAGTTACGTTTCCCCTGAGAATGTATGCCAAGACAGTTTGTAAGAGGTGAGAAGGAGGTGAATAATTATGTTGTTCAAACCGTTCACAAATGAAGACATGAACGCCCAGAGAGATTGGGTAATTTGTAAAAAAATCACAGAGGGAAAAAGGAAACGATGAAAGGTCCGTCTTAGGCTTGATTTTTGCTTTGAAGTCTAAATAGTGTTTCTTTTTTTTTTTTTTTTGAAGGGGAAGGGGAGAAAAAGGCAGGCTATGTTCAAAGAGGCAAGGGATTTGAAGAACTCCAGTTCCCAAGACAAGGCAACACAAGTTATCCAAGCTTCACCACACAACTCTGGAAACATCTTGTGAAGCTTCTCCTGGGTCTGTCCCCGACACACACACATTTACACACATTTGTCTACACACAGACACAAACAACATGCCTCCTGCCCCGCTCTCAGCCAGCTGTGAACTCCAGATCAGCTCCCTGAAACAAAGACTCAGAGTTCATCTAAGTAGTGTGGGGCAATCAAGGGCCTGACAGCTCAGCTTTCAGAATCCAGAGACTTGAATGCCAAAAATGTGACTAAGCACTTCTGTGGGAAGAGTGGACATCCCCACTCTGCTGATGGAAAGAGAGTAAAATTTTACAGAGAGATATTTCACAACATGACTAAAAAAATCTTAATTAAACATCTAAAAGAAATGAGAAACTTATTCCAGAAGGTAAGACCCTCTGGTACATATTCTACTTCCAGAACTTTATTCAAAAACTGTTACCATGGGCCTGAGGTGATAATTCAGTGGCTAAAGTGTTTGCTTTGCAAGCATTAGGACCTAAGTTTGAGCCTGAGGACTCATGCAAAAACCTGAGCATGATGGGGCATTTGTAATCCCAGTGCAGGAGAAAGAACATCAATCAAAAAGTAACATCAATCAAAAAAGCAGTTTACAAACTATGTAGAGTGAGATCCCATTAAAAGCATGTATCAGCATAGAAAAAGAGATGTCAGGATATAATAAAAGATAACTAGATATTAGTTTTTGGGTTTTAAAATCAGCAATGATTTCATCTTTTGTATAACATTTTAGAAATCACATTTAATGAAAATGTTTTGATTATATGATTAAAATTTTTAATACAATTCCTAAAAAAATGGGACCATAAAATTAAGCAAGGGATGAAATCTTCCTAAACCCAAAGCTAGAAGTCTACAGATGGCTCTGAACAAATCTTGGTGAGGGGCATGCTAAAGGCCTTCCACTTACCCAGTTCCTGAGTGTATCCTGTTTGCTTCTCTACTAAATAAACAGGCCCTTGCACAGGTATTTCAAAAATTCTGAAGTTGTAACGGACCCCTGGTTTAAAAGCATCTAGAGAAGAAAAGTCAAAAGATTTTTAACAAGATAGAAATGGCATCTTTTGTAGTTCTGAAAAACAAAAGAATGGATAATGAGCCTAAGTTCTCTGATAATTTCCTTCTCAAGATCTTTCATCTTTACCTACTTCCCTCCTTCCACTAACCCTCAGAATCTCCCATGTTGTAAACATGGACCCCACAGTGCTGCCTCCAATAAAGCCACAGGACTGTTGTCTGCAGTGTCCTCTGGAGCCAGAATCCTCCTCCAGCTGGCTCTCCTCCATATGCATATAACTGAGTGCAGAGTCAGACCAGACATTCCACCATTTCAACCCTGCTTTTGACTTTGAATCTCCTCACAGTATACTGTCTTCCCATTGAAGCCCAGGGTCTTGAAAGCCTTATTTCCACTCCCTTCCTTCCCCTGTGGCCTGCACCTCTGCAATCTACCTGAAAAGCCGCCAGGCCCCACCAGTGGTTTCCATCACCTCCTGGTCCTAGAAAATTCCCACATCACTCCTTCAGTAAATGGTGCAGCCACTCCTCCTGCTTAAGCCATAAACTTGGACTCTTGATGGCAAAAACAGCAATCTTCAAGTTATCAATCCAGTGTGGGCAGTGAGAGCTCAAGTTCTACAAATTTATTGAAAGTAAAAGTAGATTTTTGGTTCTCATCAACTCTATGTCCTAAAAATCTCCCGTCTGTAATGGTTGCTACATCTATAAAAGCTTTCTCTGTAAAACAGTTTTAATGCCCCTCTATTTTAGATGAAAAATTTTTTGTTTGTTTGTTTTGTTTTGTTTCTTTGAAGCAAGGTCTCCCTGTAGCCCCAGCTGTCCAGGAACTCACTATGTAGACCAGGCTGGCCTTGAACTCACAGAGATCCGCCTGCCTCTGCCTCCCAAGTGCTGGAATTTTTATTAAAAGCTGTACTGTGGTTCTACATAGGCATATTCTGCAGAAGTAGAGTTAAAGCTCAAAGCTTGGAATACATTCTTATCAAATCTGAACTTCAGGTACCCAAGCTGGATTTACCATTTCAAAATTGTCAGCCTAACACAAAGTATCTGCAGGGTAGACCAGACATCCAAGTTGAACTTGCTGCAAAGAGGACATGGCAAGATGAATGATGACTCAGTTCTTACCTGAACTGATGATGGTACTTGTGGTATTGGGACCTAGGTTCTTCCACTGTAAATCACAGAGCTGGTTCTGGGAATGAGCACACCAATCCACAATATAACTTATGACATCTCTAGACCTGGGCTCCCAAGAAATAAGGAATCCATCTTTTGTGCCATTAATTCTTTTCTCAACAACCTCTTCTGTATAGAAATAAATAGATTAATGCTTTTGATGTAATTAATTGTATGTTTTCACAATTTCTAAGAAAGAAAATAAACACTTGCAATATTTATTTATAGTAATGGTCTAAAACGTCCCTCAGAGGCTTCTGTAACTAAAGCCTTGGTCCCCAGAACATGGCACTATCAGGAGGTGTTGATAAGATTTTGAGTCTAGTGGAAGGAAGTTAAGTTATTGAGTATGCTGTAAAAGAGGACACTGGGGATCATCAGGCTCTGCCCTCTCTTTGCCTCTTAGGCACCAATTTGTTCTACCACACATTACCCATCATAATATTTTGCCCTCCCACAGGACAAAGAACACCAAGCCAACAACCATGGATTTTGACCGCTGAAACCATGAACCAGAATAACCTTATCCTCTTATGAGTTGTTTATCTCAGGTATTTTGTCACAGAAATGGGAACACTATATCTCCAGGAAAGAGCTTCTAATAGCTACAGAGGATCTAGTAGGGGGTGTTTCCTCTAGCTCCATCCTTCAAGTCATATTTTCAACTTCAAACAAGCAGCTTGCTAAGAATTATAAACCTAAGTTTGGAATGTCTATTGTAAGAATTCAAATAATGGTCCACTTTCTTTATTAAAAAGTTTAACTGAATTTTTGTGATCTTCATACAATATAATTTGATGGTATTTAGAGCCCCCATCCACACCTTCCCTTACTATCCCCCACAAATTTAATGTACTCTATCATCTATCTATCTATCTATCTATCTATCTATCTATCTACCTATCATCTATATAAATAAGGTCTCTAGAATCAAATTTGTGTCTCCAGATGTCCTTCCACGAGTCCCATCCTTCAAAGAGACTGTCTCTCCCCCTCAATATAGTCAGCAGAGGCTGACTTCGAACACCAAATGCTCCTACCTCAACCTCAAGAGTGCTGTGGTTGTACGCATGCTCCATTGTGCCCAGCTGCTTCATCAGCTCTTTATATGTGACAACAGTGGACAAATATTGCTTACAGCAGAGTACATGTGGTCCATATCTCATAAGCCACAAAGCTACAGACACGTTCCTAACTCTCAAGGAGGACTGTTGTGGACTGCATGTACTTGAATTAATTTTAGATTTTTTATTTTTTTAGAGACAGGGTTTCCTTGGAGTCCCAGCTGTCCTAGAACTTGCTATGAGACTAGGTTGGCCTCGATCTCTCTGCTCTGCCTCAGATTGCTGAGATTAAAGGCCACCACACCCACCTCTTGTTGGGGTATTTTAGCATAGCAATTGGAAAATAACTAAGACACCTGTCCAGCTCCCAAGCCATATATCTCTCCATTATACCAAACTACAACTCCTATCTCCTCAGAAATGCCCGGCTTTAGATCATTCTTAAGTGTACCAAAGAACACGGGAACAGTGTGCTGGGCCATGGCTAAATCTACTGCCATCACGTGGACACCATCCCACTGCAACCTGCAGATGCACCTGGCTCCAAAGGAAATGACTAGCAATAGTTGGCTGCCTCAAGTAATTGTTTTCTCAATTTATCTGTCACTACTTATAAATATCATCAATGTTTTCACAGAGAATGAAAAGCAAATTGATCAACTCCAACTCACGGTTTCCAGATTCTCTAGAGAGAACCAATATCGTTTCAGGTGACATGCCTACACTGTTGTTGGCCGTGATGTGAAGCTTGTAAGAAGACTGGTCAAGTGTCAGTTGTGTGTCAGAGGCCGGTGCTGGGATGGAGCAATGTTTTGACTTAGCTGGTTTGTCTTGGTTTTCTGCAACTATATTATAGAATAGGATCTTGCCATTGGCCCGTGATTTTGATAGTGGCTGGAAAAAAAAAAAAAGATAAATTATTTTAAAGTGGGCTTTACTCTGAAAGGACCTTGTATAATTACTTTTACATTTCTTCCATTCCTTATCTGCCCAACCCACATGTGCAGAAGAGCATATATACACATATTCACACACCCACACACCCAGCACACCCACACATCAACATACATGCACAAACACAAACACATGAGCAAACACATATGTACATACACATTCACACAGTTCAATAGAGAAATCACCTCAACACCAAGCTTGGCATCAGGCATTCCAATCTAACTGAAGCACGTAGAGAAGAGGACCATTTGGGGGATGATATTCAAACATACTGTCAAGAGACCAGAGAATAAGTCAAGAATCAAGAGGAATGTAGACTCTTTGATTTGGAGGAAAGTAAGACTTGGGAGGCAGCCAAGAGAAGACCCATGGATAGAAGCAGCATCCAGTCTTTTATAGGAAGAACCTGGGTCCTGGCCTTCCTTCATCTAGTCATGCCTCCTTACCACCCCTGCCACTGCTAAGCCCATATTGCCTCTTCTAGAGGATCCTCCTGGTTGCAGAGAATTCCCTGCCCCTACAGTCCAAGGCCTGCACCCTGCATCTGTTCCTTGGGTCTGCCTTTCCTAGGACAGGCTGTGCCCTGCTATATGTACCCCTAGACCTTAGACCAAGAAGCATCTGTCCTCTGGGGTTTGGGAATACAAAACTCAGACATAGGACTGGCAAGTCCGTACATTTGCAGGTACAGCTCTGTAGAATGTGCCAAACTCAAAGTGGAACGAATAGCTGGGTGGGCTGTGGCCAAGGACCAACCTTCTTCAATCACCACGTTTTGGTAGAAGATATTGAGGAATCTGAGAACTCTGAATACAAAGCTGGCCTTCCAGATCATCATGTGGTATATGAAGCCAGGCAGAAGAATAACATCTATCTTCTATTAATTACAGTTTAATAGCTTAATTTTCTTTTAAGTTTTATATTTAAATATCCATAGCTTAGAGTATGTTATTCTTGACATATACCCTTGCCTTGAGTCTTGCAGAAGGCAGCCTTTTGGAATATTCAGAGAAGGTTCTAGAAATTAGAATTGACCATCCATGGTATGGGATTTCAGGGAAGTTGCAGTCTAAGCTCTAGGACATGGATGTGGAGCAGATCTCTCTACCTTCTCCAAACCCTATGGGACTGACATCAAGGCCAGTCCCAGTGGGACTGAGTCGCTATTCTGTAGCAACAAGGCAGACCTTTCAAAGCTGCATGCTCACCTTCCAGAATAAGGTCACAATGCGACTTCCATTCTTTGACCTCACTATTCTCCAAACATCAAGGGCCTCTGAGGGAGCTGAAATTAACCAGAGAAAAGCATCTGGGTCATGATGTATGTACAGAGCAGAACATACACCCCATGTTCTTCTAAAGCCAGAGTGATTGCCTGTCCTCTCCAGGGCTTGCTTGTAACCTCTGTGACTTCTATCCCTGTCTACAGCCACACTGCTCACTCCTCACAAGAACACATAGAAGGGGTTTTAAATTTTCTTCTTTGTATATATTCATTGCACATAGTACTATGTTACCTAAAAGACATTTTCATATGAGTATGGTAGGTGCTTTTAAAAACAGATCAACTGATAAATGGATGATGAAAACGTGGCACATATACACAATGGAATATTATTCAGCTGTAAAGAAAAATGAAATTGTGAAACATGCAGATCAATAGATGGAGCTGGAAATAATCAGGCCCAGAAAGACAAATGCAGCATATTGTCTCTTAAATGTGGATTCTAGATTTGAATCTCTAGACATGTGTGTTTAAACTGAATAAATTTAATAAGCAAGTTAAATAATAAATAAATTAAATACAAAGCAAGAAACTACTAAGGGGCCACAGAGAGGTGTCAAGGGAAAGGAGATATAAAAAGATCATGTGAAAGGGGAATGGTGTAACAGAAAGGCTTAGAAAGGGTGGGAGATGTGACAGCAGGATAGAACATAGAGGATAGAAGACCACCAAATAAAAAGCCCATTGCCAGGTGTGAGTTACCGCTTCTCAAACTGTTGGTCAGAGGGGTCTCGTGGACCCCAGAAAATATTACAAGTGATTCTATTGCTCTTGGTTGCCCCTCCAGAACTTGATGGTGAGCTCCTATTGCTAAAGAAACCACATTTACTTCAGTCATAGGATATGGAGAAATCAAGCTGGTACAAACTGGAAGCTTCATCCCTACTGGCTAGTTTTCATAGTGTTGGAAGGAGCTTTGCATGCTATTGGCAGGGAAAAATAATCAACTGTCTTATCAAGCTGTGAACACTTGGAGCTACAAAAATGACTGACCTGGCAAGATATGCCCACTTGCACAATAGTGCTATGAACGTTGTGGAAATAACCAACTATTTTTTGAGGATTCTAAAGCCTACTCCACAAGATAGAACTCATATCTGGTATTGTAAACTGGGCCAAAAATCCATGGCTGGCTAGGTCATAGACCCTAGGGGAGACTCTAATACTGTTATTCTGCTAAACAGACATAGTAATAAACTACCCCTTAAGTTCTTGTTTTCATACCCATAGATCAGTGCATGTCTCAACCCTCATCTGAGAAGCATCTTTTTCCAGTAGGGAGATCCACAACTGGTCAACATGCAGAGAATACGAGAGTATGGAGTAATAAACTCTAAATGGGGCAGCTGTATCACACACCCTACCCCCAAGGCTTCAGTGGTTATCATCACTGAAGAGGCAGGCAGAAAGACTGTAAGAGCCAGAGACAGTGAATGCCTGCAGCAAAACAGTATTTTTTGGACATGACAGTGTCATTGCACACAGCTTTGACTGCATGCACAAGATCTGCACAAGGTCAAGCCAGCCAAATTCCCAGCAGAGATGCAGGAGGGGCTCATGAAGTTCCAGCACTAGCTGAAAAGCTATTGGCAACTGGTGGCTTCTGGAAGAGGGAGAGTCAGATTTCTTTAAAGCCCCTGAGAGGCTATTGATGTTCTAGTAGATGGTCCTGCACCTATGCACTCAGTGGGTTTAAAAAAAGAGCATGTGAAGTTGAAAAGGAATAGTGGAGGCGGGGAGATAGGGCAGAAATTGGAGGAGGGAAAAGGAATAAATTTGATAACAGTGCATTTATATGTATTTATTAAATTCAGTAATAATAGTAATAAAAGACCAAATACCCCGGAACACAATTCTAAACAAGAAACCTTTGTAAGTGTCATCCTTGGGGCTGGAGAAATAGCTCAGCAGTTAAGAGCACTGACTGCTCTTGCAGAGAACTCAGGTTCGGTTCCCAGTACCCACCTGGCAGCTAACAACTGTCCTAACTTAAGTTCCAGGGGATTCCACACCCTCTTCTGACCTCCATGGGCACTGGATGACATGGGTGCACTTACATGCAGGCAATACTTTCATATACATAAAATAAAAAATAATAAATAAAAAGTAAGTGTCATCTTTAGAACCTCTGGAAGCCACCAAAGACTTTTAATTTGTCTGAACATTCTAAGAGGTAAGTTAGGTCAGTTTCCCATTTTTTTGGACTTTCTAGATCATTGCTGCTTCCTTGTGCCATTTGCAAGGTTGAGATGGAGGCACAGTAACGCCTGGCCTTTGAGGGCAGAAAACTCAGGGTCTTCCTGTCTTTCATGATTTCTTCCAGCTGGTCACTTTCTGGAGTCACAGCCTAGAAATACTTCCTTGTCTCCTCTGCTGCCCGAGCTGGTCAGCTGTCTCCTGTGGGCACGCAAGGCACCTGCTGCCCATTCCCTCCGTCATGGATCCAGGCACTTTTCCTAAAGAGTCTACTTTGTGGTCTCCCTGGCAAGAAACTGGAAGATGCATCACTGGGGCTGGGACCTTGGCTTGTCAAACTTTGAAACTGTAGCATGTGGCTCAGGGCCTGGGACTTAGGGAAAGCTCCAGAAACTGTTGGGATGAGTGAAAAGTGACCTAAGGAATTCAGAGGGCAGCCTGCTTAATGCCCTAGTTTTTTCTTCTCTCCGTTCCTTACAAATTTCTGTAAACTCCTTTACTGATTGGCTGATTTATAATGAATATATGCTTGCTCCAGGAGGAAGAATCACTCTCTTTCCATGTCTATCTGTCTATCTCCCTCTCTGTGTATTATTATTTTTTCAGTACTGGTTATTAAACCCAGGCCCCTAAGCATACTAGGCAAGTGTTCTATTGAGCTACATCGCCAACCAGCTGAACCAGCCTCTTACCCAAGCCCACTCTGGATACCTCCCTTTAAAACTGTTTAGAGTGAATTTAAGTGTGTACAACATCTAATATTTATAGAAGGGTGTCAGGCCTGTCCCAAATGTTTTCTATATATGTATAAATATTTTTTCAATTGTTTACTCTCCTGAAAACTCTATGGGGCAGGTATTCTTGTTCACATCATTCTCTAAATAAGGAGGTAAAGTCCAGATAGACTAAGCCAATTGCTTAAAAAACCCAGATTGAAGAGTGAAGCCATTGGAACCCATGGTAGACAGGGTCTCAGCTAAAACATCATTCAGGAAGCTGATGGCCAATTTCAGGCTTAAGTTACATGACCTAAGTTTAACAAAATGCTCATTTAAAAAAGCCTCTGTGGGAGCTGGAGAGATGGCTCAGTGTTTAAGAGCACTGGCTATTCTTGCAGAAGACCCCGATTTGAATCCCAGCACCCACATGGCAGCTAACAACCATCTGTAACTTGAGTTCCACAGGATCTGATGCCCTCTTCTGTCCTCCTCGGGCACTGCACGACATGGGTGCACTTACACACATGCAGGATTAACACTCATACACATAAAAATAAATAAATAAATAAAATTTTTAATTCCTCTATGGCACAACCTGTGTAAGCTCAAGTCAGTTAAAAACCCAGCATAGCAGGGCATGGTGGCTCACACCTTTAATCCCAGCACTCAGGAGGCAGAGGCAGGTGGATCTCTGTGAGTTCAAGGCCAGCCTGGTCTACATAGTGAGTTCCAGGACAGCTGGGGCTACAGGGAGACCCTGTCTCAAAAAGACCAAAAAAAAAAAAAAAACAACTGACAGTCCTACTAAGATAAAGATGAGGAGGTAGTTTTTAGTTTACAATTAATTTAGCTTGATATGTGCATATTACTCTGTATTCTACATAGAATTACATTTTCTGTCAGTTTTTTCACACTCAGACTTTGACAGGAATAAGACGACAGAATCCCTAAGGTCCCTGGCTACAGGAACAGCCAGGCTTATCTTCTGAGAGCATCACTGACATCCTTTCAGCACATCCACAGAGACTCACAGGCATGGATGCCATCTACACCACATTCAGATCCATCCTCAAAGACTCCTCCTCAGCCTCAATCTGCAAAGATGCTGAAATTATCTTAGCTGCGTCTGAAAATAAAGCTATAGCATCCCTTATCTGACTTTTTAATATAAATTCTTCATCCTGAAATGACTTACAATTTTGTATATTAAGCATCAAAGTAGCATAGCATCAACTGTCACAAAATTTAACAAAATAAAAGCATTTCACTTTTTTCCCCCTATGTTCTTTTATTTTTCATTTGTGGGAAGAAGAGGATCTGATGTAAAATACCTCAGTGAAAGAACTGCTAGGGGATTCAGCAAAAAGCATTTGTCTCTGCTTCATAAAATTATAGTCTGCTGGACCCAGTAACCAACTCATTTTTCCTTTTAGTTCCTGATACTTCATACAAAACTTAAAGGCAATCAAACATGTTTAAAATCTATTAAAGCAGATCTCAACTTGCTAAATAAATAATTAGAGAAGCCAATATTAAACTTAAAACTTTATTGAAATCTCAGGCACAGTATCAGGCTATAAATGCCAAGCAAAATCTTGAGCTGGTTTGTAAATTACTAATCAAAAAAAAAAAAAGAGTAAAAAGAGTGCTTTGGGGTCTGGAGAGATGGCTCAGTGGGTCAGAGCAATGGCTGTTCTTGTAGAGGACTGGGGTTCAGTTCCTAATACCCACCTGCCAGCTTACAACCATCTGTTAACTCTAGTTCCAGGGCCTCCGTGGGCACCAGATACATGTAGTATGCATACATACATGGAGGCAAAACACACATATAAATAAAAATAAATCTTAAAAAAAATAAGCCGGGCATGGTGTCACATGTCTTTAATCTCAGCACATCAGAGGCAAAGGTAGGCAAATCTCTGTGAGTCTAAGGCCAGCCTGATCGACATAGTGAGACCTTGTCTCAAAAACTCAAAAAACAACTAATTTTTTTTTTTTAAGAGTATTTGGCCTGGTGTGGTGGCACACGCCTTTAATCCCAGCATTAAGGAGGCAGAGGCAGACAGCTCTCTGTAAGTTCAAGGCCAGCCTGGTCTATACAGTGAGTTCCAGGCCAGCTGGGGCTACAGGGAGACCCTGTCTCAAAAAGAACAATAACAACAAAAAGAGTGTTTTGGTCTAGTTGAGAGTGCTGGTTACTTAGATATAATACAGTACCGCTATGCTGTTATTTAACTCCATGAATGCTATTTCACTTATTAATAAAATCCACTTATAATTTTTTTAAATTTCATTTTTTGAGACAGGGTCTCTCTAGAGCCCCAGCTAGTCTGCAGCTCAATATGTACACTAGGTGGACCTCAATTTCACAGAGATCCACCTGCCTCTGCCTCCAAGTGCTGGGATTAAAGGTATGTTGCCATCACATCCCACTATTAAAATCCACTTAAATATTGATGTTTCCAGCATTTAGAAAATGTTAGTAGAACAATAAATATTTATATACTATCAACATTTTCATCTCATTTTTTTAAAAACATTTTTTTGCCTTTACTTGTTTATGATTGTGTGTGTGTGTGTGTGTGTGTGTGTGTGTGTGTGCTCGTGTGCAATGTAACCCATGTGGAAAACTTTTTGAGTTAGTTCTCTTCTTCCACCACGTGGGCCTTGGGGATTGAACACAGGTTTGATCCTGGAGGAAAGAGAAGTTGGGCTTGGCAGCACCCACTGAGTTATCTCTCCAGCTCTTATCTCCTCTTCTTACCAAAAGCAAAGGGAAATCTTTTGGGATTTGTTATACTATAATCCAAAGACATTATACCTTTTGCTATTTTTCTTTTAAGCAAATTTTTAATTATAATGTTGGTAGAATATTGCAAAAACAAACAAAAATGTAAAGCAAGGCAACACTATTAAAATTAAAAGTCTTTAATCATACAGAGCTGAGGTGTATGCCACAGCAGCATTATTAGGGAAGTTACCCCCAAGAACAACAATCAGAGCCTTGGTGGGTGTGAGATAGGCAGGAACCATGGGGTATAAGGGGGTGCTGAGTCAAACATGGCCATCTCATGCATAGATTCTGAGAATGTGCCCTGTTTTCCTCCTTTAAATAGTCCTCCCAGAAAACACTGCTGTCTATACACAAATAGCAAGAAAGGACAAATTTACACAGGTAACCCTTCCTTGGCAGCAACATAGCTAGTGCTTGAATCAGCACAATCTCAAGGTGTAATGACATCACAGAGAGAGAGAGAGAGAGAGAGAGAGAGAGAGAGAGAGAGCACAGTGCTCAGCTGTAGTTGGGATGGAGCTCCAGAGCCAAGCCACGAGGTATGTCCCAGTGCAGTCCCTTACTGGCTAGACTGGTGAAGTTACATCACTTGTCTGTGCCTCGGTGGCCTCCTCCATGAAAGGAGAATAAGAACAATTCCTGCACAAGTAGTGAGGAGTAAAAAGAAAAGCATGGTGAACAGTTAGAAATGTGAGCTGCTAGTGCTTTATCATGTTCTGCTTTTCATTAACACTGCAAACACAGTGAGTTCTTGCACCGTGGGGACAAGTGTACCTGTGCTGGAATAAGGCACTTACTACAGATCAAGGCTCTGAAGATCACTACATTCCCAAACGCAGTCTGGTGTTATGTAGTGTGAGACCAGTGCTTTCTGTGGCACTGACACTTCTACTTGTTCCTAGTCTTGAGGTAAAGATCCACTCCATGTACGCAGCCCCAAACCCAATGCGACTCCAGCCACAGTTGAGAAAATACTTTGGAAAAATTATAATCAAGAGAGAAAATGTACCATAGAAATTACACCGATGTCAAATGCTTTAACTCCTTAGGCATTTAATCTAATTTTTAAAAAACTGGCACTGTCTTTTTGTTCTAATACTTTCATCTCGGTTTTTGGTAGAAGTGAAGGATCAGCAGGGAGCTAACCCATTTCCTGAGGCTTAGATCTGTGAGCTCAATCCAGGGAGCTGAACATACCACATACCGGCTTCAGGTGTGCTGAATGTTTTTTCAGCCCAGTTACTCCATTTCCAGAAGTGGGTGGCATCTGCACAGCGCACACTGGCCTTGTACTCTGTGTCAGGATCCAGATCATTGAAGAGGTAGTCACCACTCATGTGGACAGAAACATTGTGCTCCTGGGTCAAGAGGAGAAGGAAAAAAAAAAAAAAAACAAAAACACAGAAGTATTTGTAGATATACCTCATTGCAAAGCCAAATTAGAACACAGCAAATTCTCACTTGGAAAAAGACCTCGTCCTTTTTGAGGGGAAAATAATTCTTGAGGCTTTATTTTCAGTGCTTAAAGTCTAGATTAATTTCATACCCCTCTTTTAAAAAATTCAATGGTCCTTTTTATTATATATTCTTTTGTAATTTTTTTGGTAATTTTATACAAGAATAAGAATGCAATGTATTTAGATCATATCCATCTCTCACTATTCTCCTCCAACTCTTCCCAGATTCCCCTATATCCTCCTCCCAACATCATGTCTTCTATTTCTTACACATGGAGCCAAGTATGTGGTACATGCCTTTAATCCCAGAGGCAAGCAGATCTCTGTGAGACTGAGATCAACGTGGTCTACATAGCACATTCCAGGCCAGCTGGGGTTACAGAGAGCCCCTGTCTCAAAAAGACCTAACACACAAACAAAAACAGAAAACCCCACTGAGCACAATCAGTGCTGCCTGTATGTGCATAAGTATAGGGCCATGAGGTGGACGTGGGTAACCTACCATGGGCCACACCACTGGAGAAAACTGATCCTCCCTCAGCAGCCATCACCTGCAAAACTCCTCAGTTAAGAGTAGGGATCTCATGAGCCCCACTCCCCCATCATGGCCGTTTTAAAAAAGATGATCCACACTATGAAACTAAGATATAAATAAGGAATTGATTGAATGATTTTTGTTGTGAGGGAATTGTGTGTGTGTGTGCGTGCGTGCGTGCGTGTGTGTGTGTGTGTGTGTGTGTGTGTGAACAGGGTCTACTAAGCAGTCCTGGCTATTCTGAAATTTGCTATGTAAATATTGCTGGCCTCCAATTTGAAGTGATTCTCCTGTCTCTGCCTCTCAAATACTGGAATTACAGGTGTGCACCATTATGCCTGGTCTGAAATAAGGGAATAAGGGACCTTTTTGTTTGTTTGTTTTTGGTTGAGTTTTTGTTTTTTTCAGATAGAGTTTCATTACATAGCCCTGCCCTGCTCAAATTTGTTATCTCTGGAGTAAGCCTTCTGAATGCTATGTTATAGGAGTATGCCACCAACGTAAAACTCTTAATTCTACAGTCTCTCTGTTCAGGCACATCAAAGGATTTTTAAAATAGGAAAGTAAGGAATGTTCTTACATGTATCACTTCTTTTTCACATAGGAGTTCAATCTGACACAGAAGTGTGTAGTCATTCCCCCGGGAGTGCACCTTCCAGGTCATATGGGCTTTTGTGGTATTTATAATTTCAAGGCTGACATTGTGGGGAGCTTTTAGATAAACTGTCAATAAAAGAAAAAGAAACAAATGAATAAAAAGATCCAGAAAGCAGGTCCTTTCTGACTTCAGTAAATACGCAGTCCATTTTTTCATCTGTTTGTTCAGCAGTACTTTATGTTTATGTTCAAGAAAATGGCAAACAAAAATAGACCTGTGCACAATATGCATTATGTCAACCAGACAATCTCACTCGCTATTATATGTTGATAGTAATTGCATTAGACACTTTGAAGAAAACTACAAAAACTAAGTATATAAGGAATCTGAAAATTAAACATAATCAGGTGGAGAGTAAAAACGTAGCAAAAGCAGCCCATGAAGGAAGGTTATAACACAACGTTGAGTATAACTGAAACGAGATTAACCATGCCAAGGAAATAATTCCAAATAATCCAATACACAAAGCCTCAAAGAATAATGTCACCAGTTGCCAAAGGAAAAGATCATCAACAGATGCCAGTCTCCAGATGACCCATATGGGTACAACTGTTACACAAAGAATTCTAAACAGCTTCATAAGCCAAAGCTAAATACAGTTGAAATACAGAGAGATGGAAACTGTTAAAAGGAAAAAGAAGTAATTTCAAATTTTGGGAACTGAAAAATACAGTGTCTGAAATCAAACCCTGGATGGGATTCAGCTCTGGAAAAGATGGAGGAAGCACGTTCCATCCTGTCTATTGCACTGCGTACAGTGGATGACTCACAGGGAGCTGCCTGAGAACAGCAAAGGGAAGCAGCAAAGAGACAGCACACCAGAACTGGAAGTGCTACTGAACTGGCAGTCCATTCACCTTGTGTTTTTCCATGAATCCTCCCAACATTTGGCCTTGGATAAGGGCACAATGGTAGAAGTGATGCCAAAGCAAGGTAATTAAAGCCCCCGGCTTCTGGCTGGAGAATCATAAAGGAGCATTCCAGGGAATCGAGAAACACAAGGGCAATCACAGGGGAAAAGGTGCTTGAGAGTGACCTCATGAGCTGTTATGAGCCACAGCTCGCTTCACAGTTGTGCATGCCAGGTTCTGATGTGGCACAATGTTCCGAAGCCTTGTGGACTGAACTAAAGGGCCGTTCTCCAGTCCCAGATTGGCCAATGGGAGACAAACAAGTGGAAGAGATTTAGAAGGCAGCACAAACACTTTGAAAAGTAAACTATCATTGGAACCAACACCCATAACAGGCAGTTTGAAACACAGTCTAAACCTAACCAGGATAATTGCCAACTAAAACAAAACTGTCAATATTCTCCAATGATTCAAACATCTAGAGTTTCACAGCATAATATTCAAAATGTCCAGGATAAAACCCAAAATGGTGTAGCATAATAAGAACCAGAAAAACGCCAGCTCAAATAGAAAAATACAGCTGACAGATGTCTGTAAAAAGGTGACCCAGAGGTTGGGATTATCTGTCAAAGGCTTTAAACAAGAATCATAAAGCTGTCAATGACAGTTACACAAAAAAATTCTTAATAGCTCCACAAGCCAAAGTTAAACACAGTCAAAATGCATAGACAGAGAACAGTTCTCAGTAGAGAGACAGAGCCTTTCTTTATTTTATTCATTTTTATTTTATGTGTATGAGTGCTATGCCTTCACGTGGACCTGTATCATGCAGTGCCTGTAGAGGTCAGAAGAGGGTGTTGGTGTTGGATCCCCTGTAACTGAAGTTACAAACAGTTGTTATCCACCATGTGGGATCCAAGCAAGTCCAGGTTTTCTGCAGAAAGATGGAAACTTTTATAAATTATTATAAAATTTTCTGGTTGCTTTACAGCAACCAGAAAAATCCTCAAAGCAAATGGAAATACAAAAAAGTCTCAACAAAGAAATGAAAAATAAAATAGAAATTTTAGATCAAGAAAACACAACAGAATTAAAAACTCTTTTGGGAGTATTAATAATAGAACAGAGATAACAGATCAGAACCTGAAGGCAGATCAACAGACAGAACCAATCCAGTTGAACAGCAGGAAAAAAAGAGACATTAAAGAATGAACAGAAATTCAAGGAAATGTGAAATTCTAGTCACAAAGCTCTACGCCACACTCAGGCCCTGGAGTGTGAGGGAAGGAGTACAGTGTTAAAGAAATGAAAACCCCCAGATTCGACGAAAGACTCAATCTACAGATTCAAGAAGCTCAGGCTAAAATCACACATAGGACAAAGAGCCCAGAAATGACTCCTAGCCATGGGATGACCTAAAGGTCTTGAAAACGAGTCAATAGAAAATTTCCAATTTAAAGACCAGAAAAAAAAAAAAATGACTGAGAAGAAAAGGAGCAAAGCCTCAAAAGTGCCAGAAGTCCTAGAAAAACAGATTCAAAGTAATAACTGAATAAAGCAATGGCAGCCCTCGAATTTGTCAATTTACGTAAAATTTATCAACTGAGGGAGTTCAGAGAATGATCAGTTCAGAGAAAACTACCTGCAGATACATAATTAAATATCGCAAACCAAAGATAAAGAGCAAAATGTTAAGCAATGGATAAACAGGTCTATATTACACATCAAGGAATGGTTCAAATTACTACATATTTTACACAAAAAACTAGGAGGCCAGAGAAAGTAGTGGAACAGCTTTAAGTGTCAAAAGAAATTTCAACCTAGAATTTGATGCCCAGTGGGTTATCTTCAGAAAATAAGGCTAATTGACATTACCAGATGAAGACATTACCAAAAGAAGAATCTCTCACTAGTAGAAAGAACCTCTCCAAAAGAAATGCTAAAGGGAGCCCTTCATGCCTCAGGGAAACAACACGATTCTATCTTCAGAAATGGAGAAAGAGCTACAAAAACGGTTACCATCTGGGTGAATAGAAGACTACCTCCTCTTCAATTCTTTAAGGGATGCATGAGTGTTGAAAGCAAAAAGCCTAAATGTGGTAGGATTTCCGCTGTCTGTTGGTGTAACACAGGATCACTACCACACTCCTCAGACAGAAAGCATGAAGGAACTGATGTCATTGTCCAGCTTTAGCATTTTACTTGAAGCAATGAAATATTAAACTTGGACTGGGCCAAGTTCTCACCCCTTTCTAGAGAGCCTTGAATTGACCTTGTTCATATCCCTTTATTGTTTGTAGCTCCTAAAAATAACTGTAGAATGTTCTGGGATGCAGAATCATGAGAGAGCAGTCTGGATTCTGTTTTAGTTACCTCTAGAAACAAGGTGTCCTGAGTCATATGTCTCCAGGGTATAAAACCCAGGTCTGGCTGATTTCTTAGGTCCCTCAGCTGTAGTACAAGTGGGAGACACAAGGAGAATTGCTCTGGCAGCTTTCTGAGGGCTGGGGGATTGGCTAGCAAGGAATGGAGGCTTTTGTTGTGCATGGGTGCCAGTGTGTAGGTGACCAATCCTCTTTATTTAACTTGTGCATATATGTTCTATCTCAGTGAACACAAGCTGATAACCAATGAACAAGATCCAGTGTGGCAGACCACACCTTAAGGGCTAAGTGGGAAGGGCAATGTCCCATTTCACCTCTAACCCAAGTGGAGATGTCAGCCTGGAGGCATAGGACCTGGGTGTGGTTGGAGGATTTGTGGGGAAAGAAAGACAGTGAGTGGAACATAAGTCCCCCCCCCAACATAAACACACATGCATACACACATGATGATGTAAATGTGCTGGCTACATGAATGAGACTAGAGGAGAAAATGTGGAAACAGACCCAAGAACTAGAGTTATGGATGGCTGTCAGCTACCATGTGGGTGCTGGGAATCAAATCCAGGTCCTCTGTAAGAGCAACCAGTGCTCTTAACTTCTGAATCATCTCTCTAGCCCTTACTTTCAAACAACAGACTTCTTATAGCATGCCAAAAGCCAAGACCATATGAGCTGAAAGTCAAAGGAATATCCCAGAGAAAAAAGTAGTTGACCCTGACTCACCCATGAATAAAAAGGAGGCCCAGTATCTGGTGAGTTTCTTTGGGTGATATAGATAGCATATATCCAACCTGTGTCATTTTGGCCCTCTAACTCAAGGTGATAAAGGTACTAATGGAGCCCTGTGCAACAGGATGCCTTGGAAGCCATTTAGCAAGTTGTGGTCGAGCCCTCACTTTCAGAACCTTTAGAACCACAGATATCCAGAACTTTGCACACTAAGTAGAGTGTGGCAGCAGAAAACCACCACAAAGTTACCGCTCAGATTTGGGGCATGGACATTGTCCTCCCATCCTTGCTTTCTTCCCTTCTTCTAGGGTTTCACTATATTATGCAGACTGGGCTCCAACTCATTATCATCTCCCTCATCATCCCAAGTGGCTGAGACTGAAGGCATTGGCAATGCTTTGCGGGCTGTTGGGCATGGTCTCTGGAGACCATCAGTGTCTATTATTTCAGTGTGTTAGCTGTGTTCTTAAGGTGTTTTTTATTGATGGAGTTGGCCGATTAGTCCTAAATTACTATATTTCTATAAATTTTTGCTTTACCTATTTTGAGGACTTTTTGATTACCTTCATATCTAAAATTACTATTATTCTGTGGGCTAATAGTCAGACACACTGCACTGATGGTTCATCAGCTCAGATCCCGAGATTCTGCATTCCAAAGCTCTAGGTGACAGATGCTCCCGTCCACAGGCAACATGCTGACAGCCAGATTCAAAACCCTAAAACCAACCTTGGCAAGTTCAGCAAGCATGTGTTGTGCAGCTCTCTAAACAGAATGAAGCTCTTTTAGAAATTAATGACAAAAAGACAGAAAATTCTTCTATTTAGAAAATTTATAATATAAAGAATCCATGAATTAGGTTATAGATAGAATCTGGATCATACATAGCTCATTAAAGTGAAAGTACAACCATTGGCCGAGTGTGGTGGTGCGCACCTTTAATCCCAGCACTCGGGAGGCAGAGGCAGACGGATCTCTGTGAGTTCAAGGCCAGCCTGGTCTACATAGTGAGTTCCAGGACAGCTGGGGCTACAGGGAAACACTGTCTCATGAAGACCAAAAAAAAAAAAAAAAAAGAAAACATAACCATGTCAAAACTTACTGGATTGTTTTGGATACCCAAACTGATGTTTCAATGGAGATTTTTGGCTTTTCATATTGTATTTAAAGGAGCATCAGACCAAATTCAAGAAGGTAGAGGAAAACAGGTTATGGCAGTAGAGTGGGAATTCAATGAGCATAAAAGTGGTATCATAAAACAGGGTATTTTAAAGGCAAAAAATGGCTTTAAAAATAAGCAAAATAGTTAAACTTGTAAGGGCCCACACAAACAATACAGGGAAGAGTCACAGGATCAAATACAAGGTCCTCAGGCAATTGGAACATAAGAGGAAACACCACTTAAAAGCCTACAGCAAAACATTCAAGAAAAAGTGTCCAATACGGAAGGTCAGAAAGATCCATTATATGGGTAATCAGACTTTCTAAAACCAGGAACCAATGGAAGGAACTGACAAGCCGTTAATCTTACCTTCCAATATGGTAGATTCTTGAATAAATACTGAAAACTCTAATCCAATAAACTTTCTGAAAATTATTTGCAGGCACATATTGAAAGAACATACCCTGTTACTGACAATATCAACCCAAAATGGACAGCACATAGACAAACTACAGTACAATTACTGGATTTTAAACAAAAGAAATCCCATGGCATCCAGACAGAAAGACCAATTGTGTAATAATAGAAATACATGGTCAGTAGCATTAGGACTGCATCAGCCTTCTGTATGCCAGCAGGGGGTGGAGTAAGGGACTCAAGGGAGAAAATGTATGTTAAATTACTTTATACCTAGTCAAACTGACTTTTAAATACAAACACCAGGGGAGTACTGGTCCATCAGCCCTTTCTGAAGAGCAAACTTTAAATAACCAGAATGTGCAAGCAAGCATTTGCATAAGAAATAATGGTGAACATTAAAAATACAGTTAATCATCAAAAAGATCTAACAGTCTCCAAAGCGGGAGAATATGAATTATAAAATGAGAGCAAAGAAAAATGAAGAAAATGTATGTTAAAACATGAACTATTTTCAAAAGTTTCTCTAGTGGTCATAGCTCAAAAAACATAAAGAAGTATACTTGGGAAAAATTTTAAAACTTTATGAACAAATGTTAATTAACAAAGACCTAAAGAAATATTAAATGTCTGTGCATAGGAAGACTTAGTAATACAAAAGTATTGATTTATCCAGGGACATTTGTAGATTTAATACAAATCCAAAATACCAGCAGAGGTTTTCATAAAATTTGATAAACTGATCTTCAGCTCTATATAAAAGGACATGATGCTTTATATAGAAGGGCATGACACGTAGAGTAACAAGGATACACCTGGCAAAGAGCAGGGAGGGGGACTTACTGCAATCAAGACTCAACTGTGGTCAAAGTTCCTTAAATTAGTGGGCTATTCTTGCAGGGAATAGACAAACTGTCCAGCGGCATTAGAATGCTATGACACCATTACATTGTCATAAGAATGAGAGTTGGCACGTTAAGTCAGTAGGGAAATAAGAGCTATTCAATGAATAGGAATGGATAAAGGGTTATTCTAAGGAAAACTCAGTGTTATATCCCTACTTTATTTGATATGCAAAAGTCAGTACCAGATGGAACCCAGATTTACTTTTTAAAAAAATCTTTAAAACTCTTAGCAAAAATTGTGACTATATTTCTGACCTTGACCTTGGAATAGGAAAGTATTTCTTTAAAGGATGTAGGTATAGTTATCTATGTTAAAACTGAAATCTTTTGTTTGTCAGTAGGCAAGTAAGAAATGAAGAGCTACAAACCCGGTGAAGATATCAGAAACAGAACAAAAGGTCAGCATCAAGAATAGATGAAACACTCTTATAAACAAGCCAAAGGAAAATGGACAGATAATACGAACAAGCGTGTCGTAAAAGATAAAACAGATGTGTCCAGAGTATAAGAAGAGATATTGAGCCTCATAACCATCACGAAATACCATTTTGTGACCATTCAATCAGCAAAAATAAAAAGTGATCATACAAAATTGGGGAGAACGAGTAAATCCATAGGGCGGGAATATAATGGGATGACCATAAGAGAAACATTCAGGTAGTCTGTGAATCCATCAATTCCACAGATATATACACAAGAAAATAACTGTAGATGTGTATGGACACATATAAGAGTTCTAATATTAATTAAAACTGTATCCCATGTGAAATGTGATAAAATTTGAAATCCGCTGAAAGATATGAATGAAAAAAATATTGTGTATTTGCATGAAGCACTGTATATAATACAATGAATTGACTACAGAAATGTTCCCTAATATGAGCACATCTTACCACCTTAATATTATATAAGTAATTACTAGATTGTTATATATGGATCGATGTCCTTAATATACACTAAAGTCAAAATGTCCCATATCTTTAGAGCTACATAAGAAATGAGAACACCCACCCACACATCTATCTATACACAATTTAAAGGCATGATATGTTGGATATAAGAGTGGGGAGGCTGTGGGATACAACAGGAAGTAAGTAGATATCTGAGTGCTAGTTTTGAAGTTGGTTAGTGAGCTCATTGATGCTTGAGATGTGATCAAAACAATTACTTAGGGATACATACATCCATGAGGGTGTGAGCAGACAGAGATAAAGTTTAACTTTTACTTAGGCTATGAATTAGGCCCAAATCTATTGCAATGTTTCACTGGATCATAGTCTATAAAATAGTTATGTGAGTGGCCACCATGATCTGTGACAACTGTGTCTCACCTCGATGAGTCAGGTGAAAACTGACGCTGACACTTCTCGTCCTTAAATAATTTTTAGCTATGAGTGTGAAGTTATATATTTCCTGAGAATCATCAGTGATTTGCCAATCACATGAGCTTTTGTTACAGAGTTTTCTTCTTCCAGAGAACCTAAAAAAAAACAAAAGAAGACACCAAAGACAGGATTTAAATACTTTTACCAAAGCAGATATATCCCTAACCCTTGAGACTTTCAAACCACACAATTCATTGATCTGTCACCAATATACCATCAATTAAAATATAATTTCGATGAATTTTCTCTATGGGATGGAATGTATTAACAATAAATTTCTGACTCCCCCTTCTGGGTGATGAGAACATTAATCTACTTTGAATATTCTTGAAAAATTAAAAGAAAGCCACATCATCAGATAAGACTATTTTAACACAAAGATACATCATTAACTGTCCTTATTTTTATGTATATGTTCTTTAAAAACACCTCAGGTAGAAGGTACTATACACTTGTAATCACTTCAAGATTTCCTTGTGATCCCGCAGGGAGTTTTGAAATATATGTACACATTTTCTACAACGTCTTGGTGGAGCTTTCTTTGTGCAGTCACACACATGCATTTTTCTTTTTAATGAAGCAGAGTTAGAGATTTTATTAAAGATGAATTTTAATATAGGTCGACCCACAAAGGTTAGGAGAAAGAGAGGTGCTCGGAAGAAAGTTATACATACCCAAGAATAAGAGTGTAAGCTTCTCTTAGAGGGAATCACCTGTCACAGGATCTTAAACAAGGAAGAACCTTCCGATGATGTAACCAGAGCTAACTTACGATTCAAATAAAGTGTAGTTTTGGGGAGGTTGTTGTTTCCAAGCCAAAGCCGTATCTACCCCAGGTTCCCATATACAGTTTAAAGTCTTGAAGTCTTGAGTTTCACAAGAAAAGTTCTTGGGTTCTTCAAGTACTTCTGTCCATAAGGAAAAAAAAAAGAAAGAAAAAAAAAGATGAAAGAGATAATTAAGCCATTCTATTGAATAACTAGTCAAAAGAAAAGCTCTGTTTGTGAGTCCCCCAAACAATGAAGGGATCATAAAGGTGGAAATCAGCAATCTACAGCCTCAGAAAGGCACATTTCAGGGGCTTCAACACCACCCCGCCCCCTCGCTGTGTTCTCTGTTTTCTGGGGTATCTTGGGGACAAGCAGTTAGTGCTGGGCAAGTGGCTGGCATTGGTCCATCTGAAAGAGGATGTGTGTGTCCCCAGTACTGGGTGGTGTCCCATTTTGGGTGTTGTGGCTTATAGAAAGCCCCAGAATGTCAGCCAGTCAGCCAGACTTTGTGAATGGGTTAAATTGTAGTTGAAAGTAGTGCTCCCAAGAATGACAAAGCTCCCCTAAAATGTGGAGCCACTACTGTTCACAGGGACCGCAGTTCAGATGGCCTAGGTATCCAAGTCTGGAATAACCTCTTTGGCAACAGAGGAAGATGTCTCAGATATTGCCCTACTGCCTAGAGGGATACAAATCTCAAGAGCAAACACAGAAGACCATAGCACAGGCACATGTGACCCACAGAAAGATTAGCAAGCCCCCACTCCACTGAAAAAGGCCAAGGAGCTAATTTTCCAGAGTGAAGACAGTAACAGCCACCATTTGTAGAACCTCTGCATGCAGCTATCATGTTGGGGCCAGATGCTGTCCATGTTCATTGATTTTCTCAAACACCACCATCCCCATTCACAAATATAGCCAAGAGGATGGGTCCAGTCATGGGATGAGATCAGCCTAGGTCTCTGGACTTCTACCCAGTTTTCTTTCTGAGGTTGGCTGGCCTATACCCCATTCCTCCCTCCACAATTCTGAGCAAATTCTAGCACAGCTGAGGCAAAGCAAAATATTTTTGTAGTGGTTCGTGTCATGACCTGAAATTTCTCTTGTTTAATACTATTGGTTTCTAGGAATAAAGCTGTCAGCAAGGGCAAGGCAACAACAGGAAATCCTGGCAGTACTGCTTCTGGATATAACTTTCAGAATCTCTACGGGAAGTCTTTGTGAAACAGAAAATCAAGACTATGTACGAATATGTTTGTCTCCTGGTAAAGGAGATTCAAGGTACTTCACAGAAAATTAGAATAAAGAGGAAACGTCTCAATTACTTACTTGAGACAAAGAGAACAATACCATCTTCAAGTTTGGTATCTATGCTGTTACAAAAAAAGTTTGTCCCTGTGTCTCTAAAGAAAACAACATTATTCAAATTGAATATGGACACATGGGAATCAAGTTGTTCTCCAGGTATTGGTTTTTCTTGCAAATAACAAGACACATTATGCTGATTCCTTCCATACACAGAACAAATAGTGATGTTGGAGCCTTCTTCCACCAGTGGATCTTCAGGAAATACTAGCACTGTATTGGGTTCAAGAGAAACTGGTACTGCAAGACAAAAAGCTTTGGTTAGAAGCTTATTCAGAATTCAAGACAAACCCTTCCCACTCCCTGTCAGTAGGTAAGTCTACCACCTGGAGAAAATACCTGAAATTTCCACATCATTCCTGTGGCCTTTGGCTGGTGCAGACCAGTCCTTTCTGGTATTGTATTCAGAATTCAAGACAAACCCTTCCCACTCCCTGTCAGTAGGTAAGTCTAGTTTTATTCTACCACCTGGAGAAAATACCTGAAATTTCCACATTATTCCTGTGGCCTTTGGCTGGTGCAGACCAGTCCTTTCTGGCATTCTTCCTAGTGTCACATGGTACCACTCTTCCAGCCAAAGTAGCACTACTGTTACCACTTTTGGTTGTTATGCTGGTGCTGGTGTTGGTAGCTGATCTCTATAGAGTAACCCCCCCACCACACACACACATGCAGAACACCGTGGTGTCTGTTATGTCATCCTAAAGACCTTCCAAAAGTGGGATAGGTAGGAACTCTGAGTTTTCTCAACCTGTCAGTGGAAAATCCACATTCAGGTCTACCAGGCCTGCTATAATGGCTAATCTCAATTGCCAACCTGATGAGATCTAGAATGGTCTGGGCAATGAGTATCTGGGCATGCTGGTGAGCGACCATCTTGATTAGGTTACACGAGATGGGACGATCTTCTCATTGTAGGTGGCAATAGTCCCTGGATGAGATCCTGGACTGTATATAATGTACAAAGCAAGCTCAGCACTAACATTTCATCACACTCTGCCTCCTGATTATGGATGGCACATGACCAGATGCTTCAAGCCCCTACCATCTAAACTTCTCCACAAAGATGAACTATACCTCTGAACTGTGAGCCAAAATAAATTCTTCGTCCCTTTAATTGCCTTTGTCAGGGAATTTTTGTTGCTGTTGTTGTTGTTGTTGTTTTGGTCTTTTTGAGACAGTGTCACTCTGTAGCTACAGATGGCCTGGAACTCACTATGTAGACCAGGCTGTGTTCAATCTCACTGGAGAGTCTCCTGCCTCTACCTCTGAAGTGCTGGGATTAAAGGCATGTGTCATTATGCCCAGCTTGTTTTAATTTTTTGAGACAGGATCTCTTGTAGCCCTAACTGGCCTGGAACTCACTAATGAGACCGGCTGGCCTTGATCTCATAGAGATCAGTCTGCCTCTTGAGTGCAGAGATTAAAGGCCTGCACCACCATTCCCAGGTCGTGTTGGGGTATTTTAGCACAGCAACAGGAAAAGTAACTAAGGCACATGCCCAGCTCCCAAGACAGGTATCTCTCCATCAGACCAAACCATATCACCTCTCCTCAAAAAGCTGCTCATTCAACCCTCATCTCCTCTTCTTTATGACCCACTGACCCATCAAAAACCTCAGGGCTCTCCTTCTTTAAAGAGTTCCCTCCCTCCTGCCACCTTCTCCAGCCTTTCCTTAGAGGTGGCCTCCTTGATGGAGCTGTGGTTACCAGCTGCTCAGGCTTTCCTACCCCACCTCATTCTTTAGCCTGCTGCAGACTGCCTGGCCACCTACCAGGCCACTAGAAATTGCCATCACTGACATCACCTGTGCCAAGCGGCCTGTGCACAGCTATTGGGCTTTGAAGATCTCAAGATGATTCTACTGTGCAATCCTGAGAACCAGAACTCTGAGGGTCAGATTTTCCATTTATTATTGCATTAGTTTTGAAATTACAGTTTTGAGAAATCCAGCCCACTATATCAAAGTTGTTTATAACATGACTATTTCTTTCTCTCTTAGTATTCTTGTTTGGTTTGAAATAGGCTCTCACTATATAGTCTAGGTTGGCCTTGAACTCACTGTATAGTTCATCAAGCTAGCCTTGAATTTATAACTCTTACTCGACCTTCCTGAATACCGGTATTATAGGCATATGGCAACATGCTTGGCTTTCTCACTATCTTTTTGATCTCTTTTATCCATGTATATGTGTCCCTCTTTCAGCAGTAAACTATAGTGGTTAATAACGTGGCCTTGCACGGGCTCTTGATGTTCCCTCGACTTCACTTTCTTCAACTGGGAAGCAGGAAAAAGAATAAAGTCTATTTCATAGGACTAATGTGATAGCTAAATAATGTCTACTGTTTAAAATAGTGGAATGTAGATTTAATTCTGTTATTATTATTAATCTACACACTAAGCTACTCTTGAGTTAATAGGTTTCCAGTTTGAATGAATAAATCTGCATAAATACTTGGCAAAGGAATGATTGTACTGGCAGAATTCATATAACATGGCAGGGTGCAGAGTAAGATGCCTTGCTATAGACCTGGCCTGCCCAGAGCATGAGAAGTTAGAATCTGCTCTAAAGTTTACTTACAAAAATGTTAGATGATCAAAACTAAGGGATATTTAAAACACATTTGTCCATAATTTCATCCCTGGAATGAAAGCTGTTTTCCTTTTCCCATGTGTCTCCCCTCCTCTAGGTGGAGGATTGGAAACTACAGTCCATGGGCCAATTCAAGATGACCATGTATTTGTGTAAATAAAGTTTTATTGGAACACAGCCACCACTGCTTCCTTACATATCATCAAAGGCTGCTTTCTGAAGACAGAATTAAGTGACAAAGTTACACAGAGACTGCCAGGTCCTTCACAGAAGAAGTGAACCAATACCTGCTCCAAATGTGTACACATTTTGTACTGTTTTCATGAAAATACATACACAATTGATGTTCTACTTTGTTCATTTAACATTTAAAGTAAATACATTTTATATTTTGGAAAAATGGATGCAAAATTATCTGAATTGCCTAATTATCTCAATAAGGATGTTCACAGGTAAAATTTCAGACATCTAGGGTATGATGAAGAATTTAAAAACTGTGCTTTATAGTTTCTTTTGATCAAAGGAAAAAATGTCTGTATCAACCTAGGGTCCTTCTAAGGAAACATCTACTAGTTAATTACTGACCCCTGAGTAACAGTAAACCTGTTTATTCTTGTGACCACCTCCACTTCTTACTATGAGCTTCCTGCCAGGAACTCCAGTTGCTCCAGGAACTCTGTAGGAGGAACTTATCATCATCCACCATGCCCCTTATTCTTAAGAAGTATTTTACACATTCCAAAGGGATGTCAGGTTTCCAGTTCCAGTGCATAACTTGATTCCACTTCACAGTGGTAGTGTAATTCACCTAAAAGTAAAGGAAATATTTGGAAATATACAGCCATTATGTCCTGGAAAATAAGCTTTCTTAAATTATTCCAAAGGACAAGCTTCTACACCTAATCAATTCCAGAAAGTTTGTAAGTGAAGTCCATTCCTGACGAACTGAAGAGTTCCTCTTCTGTCCCCTTACTCTGGTGTCTTAGCAGTGGACAGATACGGCCTCTTTTCCCTTCAATCCCTATTCCTCTTTCATTCTAGGGGGCCACATGGAGAAAGTGAAGAGAAAAGAAAAAGGCACTCAAGTCTTGCAGAAAGATCCTAGACAGGTACTGGTCACAGAGAACCCACTATGAAAATTCTAGAAACCTAGTGAATTGAGTCATCCTTAAAAAGTAAGTAGGTACTTTCAAATATTTGTTTTAACCAGGGTCAGATCAGGTCAGCCAAATCTAACAGTACCAACAAGGCAGTCCTTCGTGGCACCCCAGGAACACCAGAATCTCTAGAAGCCAATGGATTCTTCTTCCTGTCTGTCTTGTTTTTCTAGCTCATCTTTTCAGATGTTGTGGCCAGATGGACCACACCACTCCACTGAGTTCTGTCTGTGGGAATCTTAGGCCCTACAGATGTCAATCAAACAGAATTTCTTACAATGATCTTTGGAGAGTCTGTCAGGCTGAACTTGGCCTTAATCTTTCTAAGACACTGGCATCTCCATTCTCAAATGTAGTTGTCTCCAATGGTAGCATTACATCTTACTCTGCCTTTCAAGGCCTCTGTAACCTGCCTCCCAATAATGCCTCTTGATGGTATCTTCTCTTTGGACCCAGTGGTTTACCCAACACTTCTGAGATTGTTCTGTCACTTTAGGATCTTCTCATGAGGTATTCCCGATTTAGTGTTCCTCACTCTCCATTAGGAATTAATTGCATTCTTGAGTCCCAGATCATACTCTAAATCCTTCGTGAAGAATTTGTTGCTGTTGTTGTTCATTTCAGTGTTGGAGACTGAACCTAGTGGTTAACACACACATGCTAAGCAAGAGCTCTATAGCAGAAGTGTACCCAGGTTTCTAGGAAGCCTTCCTTCTCCTTCCTTCAACTTCCTCCATCTCCACCTCCTACAAAGCCCTCCTGCATCCTGTGTCCAGTGGCTGGAGCAGGGATCCTGTTTTCTTCTTTTGTTTCCCATAGCTCCAGGAACTCATTCTCCACAGTGTGCCCCTCCAGACTCTTCCCTTGCCTTCATGCCCCACAGCTGGGAGCTGAAGACCCCAAACATTATGCATTTCCTGGAGAAGCTAGTGTGAGTCTGTACCCATGTACCCAAAGGCAAATGACAAGTCCTCAGTGATGGTAACCACATGTCACACATGCGGGCAGCAATTCTGAGGCCTCCCTCCCTTATGCTTGTGCCCTGTCCAGGTCACCAACCTTAAATCACATACACAGCAAAGTTCACAGAGCCCTGGAATTTTTCCTACCCTGCTCCACTCAGGTAGATTTAACTGTATGTTTCTTTAACTCTATGTAGATATGTAATTTTTAAACATTAATATTTTACTTTGGCCAGGTGTGGTGGTGCACGCCTTTAATCCCAGCACTTGGGAGGAAGAGGCAGGTGGATCTCTGTGAGTTCCAGGCCAGCCGGGGCTACAGGGAGACCTTGTTTCAAAATAACCAAAACCAAGTTTTTGTTTTGCTCATTATTTTATTTTGTTCTTAGATCATAAAGTATATTTTATCTGTAAGTTTTATGATGCTAATTCATGAAACTTTCACTATTTAATGAGCAATCTTGAGGCTTTTGGTTAAAGATTTTTAAACTGAAAAGCAAATACTAAACAATAAGGAAAAAAATGGAATTAGATCAATGATGGTGACCCCGCCCCATACCGTCAGCAGGGCATAGATTTGAGTTTACCTCTTGCATCTCCCTCAAATCCAGCCCCTCTCTCACCGCATCACTGGCCTGGCCAGTCCTTGCAGCCCAGGTCCTGTTGGCCACACTGCCCTCCGCCAGTCCTCTCAGCTTCTCTCCAACAGACAGTTAACTAAATGTCCCTTTAAAAACTACATCACACCTTACCACTCCCTTCTTTCTTACTGTTCTTAGGACAAGCACAGCCTGAGTGTTCTCCCCATGGCTCCCAGTGGTCTTATGCTGTGCCCTCCTGTCCCAACCTGTCTCTATGTGCTCAGCTACACACTGCATCCTGCCTTCAAACCTGGCAGCTCCCCAGCATCCCACTCTCAGGGCCTCTAATAGTACATGTTGGATCATCCCAGAGATCTTGTCTCTTTCATGCTAAATTAACTTCAACTCTCCTTTCATATCTTGATTCAAAGAATCCTTCATCTAAACTGTGGGACTAAATCTGACCTAACCCCACCACTCACTAACGACCTCTACCCTCCACACACATTTAACATTCCATTTGTGTGCTCAGCACTGAAATTCCCCAGGCCTTGTACAACACCTGACTAAGGCCCGCAGTCTAACACTGACCTGAGTAATGTAGTCACTTCATTAATATGCAATGGATCATGTTTCCCCCAGACACTGTGGATTCTCTCCGGCCTCAATTTATGCTCTGTGCTCTTTACAACTGTGTCAATGAAGGACATAAAACTTTGAATGTATCAATTCAGTGATTTTTATAAAAAAATATTGTGAGGAATTATCTTTGGTCTATTTTCACTCATCAAAGTGGCAAGTTGAATTTGGCCCTTGTGAACATTATGAGGTCACAGAAATTGGCATGTACACAGGCATAGAAATCTGTCTGAGGTCACTGATTCATTGCTGAGACATGAGTCCTAGCCTCGATGACTCACACTCCAGGTCTCTGTCCAAGCCTGAGCTGCTATTCTGCCTTCTCCTGCCACTGACAAAAGCATACAGAAAATGCCTGGGAGAGAAGAGCAGAGAAGAGCAGGATCACTGTAGGGTGGCTCTCCACAAGGCTCTGTGCTGCCAGCACTGTCTAGGAGGTGTCCTCGTCTAGCTATGAGCACCTGGGTCAATGAGCTTTTCCACTGGCTTGTTGGGAGCACAATGATCTGAAAAGCTGAGTCTCAAGCTTCCCCCTTCAGCATGAGTGACACTGCAGTGCCTGGTTTGTATGCAGGGAAAGGACAGCATTGTCCAGACAGAAGCAGCTTCTCTCCCTTAACAGAGAAGGTTCCCATGTCGCTCCTTAAATTAACTTCAGGCACAGGAGAGTGAGACAAGGGCTTCTCTTGGCCACAGCATGTGGCAATGTCCCCTGTCTGAGCATGGGGGTGAAGAATTATACCCCCTGCCTGCTGCATACTAAACCACACACAGATATCTGTGCCCTGGTTTTCCTCATTGTTGCAGTGAGGCTGGGTTTCCTGTTTTGAGTTCAGTGCAATAAATGGATGGGGCAGAACCTTGTCTTTTGGGGTCTTGAGCCCTCATAAAATTATAGAAATAACTTTCACAGGTTGCTTTCCCTTGCAAAGAGACTACGTTAGGTGAATCGACTAGGAAAACAGATTTAAGAAAACAAATAATGGAATCCACTTGGTCTATGGCTAGCACTACTTACTTTTTTACTGACATGACATAAATATGAACTGTCTTTTTGAGAAATACAGAATAGGATGCCTTATTCTATGGTTAATGTTATTTTTGTTATGGTGTTACATGCTAATTTTCCTAAATTCCTCCAGCACTTTTCCCAACCACTCTTAGTCTCAATAAGACCTTTGCTGAATGTTTCCCTGGGCCTAAATCACCAACCAGTCTATCCATCAAAATCATAAAAATCAAGTTTCCTATCATGAGGTGGAATGCTGGGCAGATGTGCTGATGGTGGGAAGTAGATAGCTAATTATACATGGACATTTCTATGGTGATGGTACACATTCAACTGCTACCATTGTATGAAACTGCCCTTTGAGAAGCTAGGTTATAGACCTAGTATAAGCCCTAAAGGATGGAATCAGCATTGATTTATTTTAGGCCACTTGCTCAGACCTCAAGTGTAATAAAGGTTATGGAAAGGAACTGAAGACTTTAACATTAGTGGCTTAGGCTCCACTGAAGGGACTGGCATTCTAGATTCCTGTACATCCCCTGTTTGAGAAAAGGGGCACTTGGATGGGGCTGACAGAGGTCCTCAGCTCGGTCCTCTGTGTCCTTTATCTCCTGGAGATTTCTAAGGTGCCTTCAAGGACAAAACATTCTACTGCCCTTAAATATCCCATGACAATATGTAACCCTTATGATCAACGTGCGCAAAGGGACACAGATGAGGATGTGTCAGACATAATAGACACATCCATCATTTGAAGCAAGATGAGTGAAAATATGTCTTAAATAATTCAAACTGAAAAAAAAATAAAGGATTTTCTTTTGGTTGCTTGGTCATTCTTTTTTTTTTTTTTTGGTTTTGTTTGCTTTTTATTGTTATTTTTGTTTTTTTTTCTGAAGCAGGGTCTCATGTAAACCAGGCTGTCCTTGAACTTGCTCTGTAGCAGAGGATGACTTGAACCCCTGATCCTTCTGTCTGTATATCCCAAGAAGAATTTTCTTAATTTTGATAGAAACCTCACATTTGAGGAAAGAGATACTAAGTTACTTTCCAACGTAGGACACAGAAAACCTCATGTCAGCTGATCTGTATGCTGTGGAGCTTGTACCTCTGTGCATTTCAGCACAGAACAAGTAAAGCAACTCCCAAGAAGTCTCACTGATGAGAAAAAGATTGGTAACTCATTACATCTTATCTAGGAAATCTGCTGGAGGACAGAGAAGAAATGACAAAGAGGAAAGAGATGGCTGGTCTTCATGAACATGTGGATCCAGTATTCACAAGGATGGAACCAATGACTCTCACTGGGTAGAGAGTAGAACTGGGAAGACAATCTGTTTTCTTAATGTAGCCTTTAAATGGAAGAGGCTGTATTACTCTGTCTTGTATGTTCTCTTGACTAAAAACACAGGAATGCAATTGTTTAGGAAAACAGTTTTGAGTGGTAGATGTTTGCATAATGAGATCTCTTGGATTTTATAAAAGAAAAATTGTGACATGAGAAAAAAAATTTTAAATAGAAAGTAAAAAAAAAAAATACTTACCACCTGTATCACATTGGATGTTTTGATTCTACTGATCTCTATCTGGAGCATCATTTTTAATTCCTGGTGATGAGCAAGGTTTGGGACAGTCCATTGTAAATTCACTTGCTGCGGTTTAGAAGAGGTGGAAACATTCTGTACCTCGGGAACCAACTGGATAGGTTCATCAAAGACTGAAAGACCGAAAAAAAAAAAAAAAAAAAAAAAAAGGCATGAGACAGCATTCAACAGGAGCATGTCCAAACAACCACAGATAGAGCAGATGCTGTTCAATATGTTCATTGATGAGCTTTGGAAAAGACTGTTCATGAGTACATCCTAGAGCCAGATACTCTGAGAAGCTGGAAAGGAATTTAGAAGTTACATCAACAGAGGAAGAAATTAAGACCTTTATGAATGAGAGAACTTGCTCAACAACACAGAACAAGTTAATAAGCTGGTAAACAGTTAAACAAAGTATCTTATTGAAAAAAGACTTTAAGTTTATTATAAGGTATGAAGTTCTCTGGGTAGAAGCCCAGGAGTGAAACAGCTGGGTTTTATGGTAATTCTGTTTTTAACTTTTCTGAGGAAACTCCAAACTGATTTCCATAATCTTTGTACTAATTTGTACTCCAACAGCAGTGAATAAGGATTCCTCCATCTCCACATCCTCTCCAACATCTTTTGTTGGATTTCTTGATGACAGACTTCCTGACTGGGGTGAGGTGCTATCTCCAAGTAGTTTTGATTTGTATTTTCCTGATAACTAAGGATGTTGAACACTTAAAAAATTTATTGAATTTTTGCAATTTTCATGCAATAAAGTTTGATGGCATTTAGATCCACTGCCCTCTCTGCACCTCCCTCCATGCCCCCCACCCCTCGTCTAATTCAATGAACTCTCTTACACACAACACAGCTTATAGAGTATGATCCGTGTTCCCCAATGTCCATCCACTGGGCCCATGAAGAGCCCTAACCCTGCAAGACACTGTCTTTCTTTCTCCCAGTAGCCATCAATTGCCAAAAGTTCCCTAGGTTGGGTTGGAATTTCTTATCCATTTCCCTGTTTTAGGACTTTGTCTGATTTGAGCTTGCATAGGACTTCTGCATGTTGTCACCCTTGCTGTGAGTTCATATGAATAAATGACCAGCTTTCTGGAAAACTCTATTTCCCTGTAGTCATCCACACAATGATCTCTGAGCCTTGGGAGGCAGAGGTTTGAAATAGCTGTCCTATTCAGAGATAAGCACTCTGCGGTATAGGAAACCAGGATGCCAGGCCCTGGGGTGAGGTAAACCTAAAACTTATAGGTCCAGGCTGTGTTCTCTGCCAAAGGGAGGGGCGATGAAAACAGTGGCTCTGATAATCCCTAGACTGGCAGGAGAAAGCAGCCTGGTCATAAAAGTGCAGGCTCCCTGCTCTGTGGGAGTCTTGGTCAACAACCCTTAGCTCATCTCCTTGTCCTGAACAAATAACTCAGCTATCCCTGGCTAAGAGATTAGGCCAAGTTAAAGGTTTACTCCTGAGTTAAAAGCTAAAAGTTCACCATGCTTTTAGCTCTAAGAAAGAAAACATTGTGGCCAATAAATTACAGGATGGGCATTGATAACCTTGAGTGTCAGGAGCCATGCTTGACTTAAGCATTGGAGAAAAGAAGACTGCCACTTTAAGGCCAATAAATTACTGGATGGGCATTGATAGTCTTGAGTAAAAGTTTAAGAATCCTTCTGGCACCAACTAACAGATTAAATGTCCTGTTTCTTTGTACCCTAAATCTTTGTATGTGACTGCCATATCCCATGTGACTGCTAGTTCCTTGGGATGTATAAAAACCATCTGAATTTTAAAATAAACTGGCCTGTTGGGAAGACACAGATCCTAGAGTTTATGACTCTGTCACCAATCAGACCCTCTGCCCCGAAGCCAGTAGGTCCCCCACTAAGCAAACCAAACCTGAGTCCCGGCACTGCAGCCTCTTGTTGCCTGCACATTGGCTGACTGTGGGTCTCTGTGTTAATCGCCATCTGATATACAAGGAAACTTCTCTGGTGGGAGTTAAGAGATGCATTCATCCTAAACATAGAGGTTGCGCTGAAGATTTGTCACTTAAGGTTAAGCATCTCAGACACTTATTTTCTGCATTTGATAAGTTCTGGAGCTCTGTAATAGTCTCCAACTGTTGCAAAAAGAAGCTTCTTTGATGCATATTTAGAATAAAGTGAGAAATTACATTGGTCTAGGAATGTGGCAAAAGTAGTAGTGCCACTTTTATGTTGGGGGTAATCAATAGCTCTCTAATTGGAATTAAGGCCTGCTTAATGGGAGGGAATGCATATGCAGTACTGTAAATAGCCAGACATGGCTGAACACTTTTTAGAACTGGTTATTGGTCATTTGTATTTCTTTCTTTCTTTCTTTCTTTTTTGAAAACTGTCTATTCAATTCATTAGCCCATCTATTGATTGGTAAAATTTTCATTTATTCCATTTATTTTTATATGTACGAGTATTTTGCTTGCATGTATGCGTAAGTGCACCATGTGCCTACAATGCCCAAAGACACCAGAAGAGGGTGATGAAACTGGAGTTATGAATGGTTGTTAGCTACCATCTGTGTATGGGAAACAAACCAAGTTCCTCTGCTAGAGTAGCCAGTGCTCTTAACTATCTATCCAGTCTCTTGATTGATAGTTTTATTTCCTTGGTATTTAATTTCTGCACTTCTTTGTAAACTTTTTAGCCTCTTGTCTGAGGTAAAGATTTTCTCCCATTCTGTGAGTTGTATGTGCTCTGCTAATCATTTCCTTTGCTGTGCAGAAACTTTCTCATTTCATTGAGTCTCATCTGTTGATACTTGTGGCTAGTCCCTGTGCTATTACTGTTCAGTAGAGATATTGAAGTGCCATAGAGATATTTGCATCCCTGTGTTTATTGCTGCTGTATTCACTCTAGTAAGAAAATGGAAGCAACCTTGTTGACCACCAACAGATAGGTGGGTAATGAAAATCTCACCCAGACATTAAAGGAATATTATTCAGCTCAAACGAAAAAAATGAAATCATAAAATTTCCAAGAAAATAGATGGACCTAGAAAGTATAATATTATGTGAGGTCATTCAATTCAGAGAGGAAAAAAAATAATGCTCTCCCTCCTCACATGTAGACTCTAGTCTATAATATATACGCATATATGTAAACAAGTGCCTGTGTGGGTATTCTATAACATTTAGAAAGGAGAACAACAGAGGGTAATAAATAGGCATACTAGTGAGTTCACATATATAGTCTACTTCATGGAAGTCCTTTGAATGTTCTCTCAAGATATAACACATTTTCACCACAAAATAAGTTCTTAAATGGGCAATGTCTACATGTGATTTCACAAGGGACTATTACCTTACTGGCAATTCTGAATTTTAAATTATGTTTTTTCATTGTTTGAATAGTTCTGTACACTGTACTTTCTTGTAAACACTAATAAACAGTATTATTTTATTCCTTAAAAATAAGATTTTAATTTTAATTACATGCATATGTGTGGGTATGTGCATGTGAGTGCAGCTGCCCTCAGTGTCCAGAAAAGAGTGTCTGATCCCTAGAGCTGGAGTTATAGGCAGCTGTGAGTCACCTGACATGGGTGTTGAGAACTAAACTCCAGTCTGCTGCAAAAGCTGAGCCATCTCTCCAGCCCAAACCAAAGTATCTTTACTGGACAATCTAACTGGTTTGAATCCATAACAGAGATGAACTAGGAGTATTTTTAAATCTCATATTTAAAAATTTTTTAAAATGAAAATGTGTTTTTGGAAAGTGAAGTTTCCACAGAGAGAGGGGAGTTGGACCCACCTTGACCATTGCTGACTCTACAAAACTAATCATGACTTTCCACGTAAGGGAGGGAAACACCACAGAGAATGGAAAGGAATTGTGTTATTGCCAATTCAACGATTTCAAAAGTTGAATTGAAGGGCCTGATATAAACTGGGGATGTTACAAAGCTTTTGAAATGATCAAGATTCCTCTAACAAAATCAGCTGGTGTCTGGTGACCTATGGTATGACAGATATCAACTGCTTAGCATTAATTTCTCTAGTTTTTTTGGGAATTGGCTCTAGTGATCTGATCTCCTTTGGCATTACATTTAAAAAGCAAGAAAGGGAGAGGCTTAGTAACTAAACATATGCTTAGCGGGAGGAAAGACCTAGGTTCAATCCCCAGCAGCCTCTCCCTCCTCAGAGGCAAGAAAGTATCGCTTGACAATAAAAAATAAGCAATCTCCAACACCTAAAGAGTTCCCAAAGCCCCAATGTGAATGTGCTACTTTTCTCATAGAGAAGTAAAAGCAAAAACAGTAGGGGCTGGAAAAATGGCTCAGTGATTAAGAGCACTGGCTGCTGGTTCAGAGGACTCCAGTTGGGTTCACAGCACCAACATAGCAGCTAACAACAGTTTGTAACTCCAGTTCTAGGGAATCCAATGCCCTCTTCTGGCTTCCAATAGCATTGCATGCACATGAGACACCTGACTACATGCAGGCAAAACACTCATACACATGAAATAAACTAATAAACCTTGAAAACACTGTATTCACTTAAGGGATTGTCCTCAGAAGGCAGAAGACTTCAGACAACAGATTCCTCAGAAGTGATACTAATAAGAACACCCACAAAATGAAAGGCAGTAGCCATTGAAACTTGCCCAATCTCTGTGATGGTTTTGCAAATGCAATGTGGCAAGAGTGAATGCTCAGTGTGGGCACCCTGACCTTGGGCTTGGCAATGAGTCCTTTGATATAACATGAAAAGTATAAGTAACAAAACAGATAAATTGAACTTCATCAAAATTAAAGTTTGTCCATCAAAGAGTGTTTCCAAGAAAGTAAAAACAAATCTATAGAATGGGAGAAAACACTTGCAAATCACATATTTGATAATACTGTAGTATTTAGAATATACAAAGAATGCTGACAAATCAACAACAGAAAAACAAAAGAATCAATTTTAAAATGGACACAAGACTTGGACATTTCTCCAAAGAAGAAAAATGAATTTCCAAAAACACATGAAAAGATGCTTAATATTACTTGTAATAAAGAAAATGCAAATAAAAATCATGATAAGTTATGAGATGAGATACCATTTCATACCCATGAAGAAGGCTTTAAAAATAAAAAATATGGAGCGGCTGG